CAAGCAGCCGTGGTAGAGGCGCTCCTCAGTCACGGAGCATCCGCAGATCTGGCCGACAAAAAAGGTGCGAGGGCGCTGCTCTTTTGTACAGATCATTAGCCACCACTTGTGTTGCTTGAGTACCTTGCACTTGTGAAGTCGGGGAATGCTTTGCTCAAGTGCTAGAACGATGTGCTGTTGCCAAAATGGTGTGCAAGTACTGTGCAGGTGTGTCATCGCATGTGCTGCTTTAGCACTAAGAGGGTGAGCGCTTGTTCCGTGTTCCTGGCATTACATTAGGCTTACATGCCGTCATATTTAATATTTTTGTCTCTCGTTATCTCATTGCACGTAACGAGGTAAAGAGATGCTATAGAAATCACATTCGCATGATGTGGCAGCTTCCCTTGTTGTTTCATAACGTCAGGGACAATCCGTTGCGCCTTTGGCGTTCCCTTCTGGTTTGTGCCATGCAGCCTTCTCCAATTGGGTTGACCCATTGATGGGCAAGTGTGCTGTTGCAAATGAGATGCTTTCCTGCTGGTCAAGTGTGCTGATGCAACGTGTTGCTCAGCTACTGGGCACCTGTGCTATTGGATGTGGCACTTTTAGTACTGACTGTCTTTGCTGCGGATGTGTACTGAAGTACTGGACCTGCAGTGCGTTTGCCCAACACTGCAGTTAGGCAGTGGTGCTCCGTACATTTGTTACCATGTGGCATGGCCGTTACTTCGTCGATTTCATCTCATTCTCAACGTGTTCTGCAATATGTTGCCAGTCGACTGCTTCAAACGCAATCACTAATATCTGATTAGGCATTTTGCACACTTAAGAGGCGCAATCTTTCTGGTAGTCAATACAGCGTGTTGCGGGTGGTAGGCAGGTGAAATTGTGTGTCCTGAAAGTTGGTACAGACAATCATAGTGGTGTTTTCTGCACTGCCATCCACTCGGAAGTGGTCAATACCAAAGGGAGCAATTATGAGATGGTAACAGAATGTTGTGTCTGAGGAGGCTATTCGCCAATGTTTAAAATCGTCAACTTGATATCTGAGGCAGCGTGGACAATGCTCTCACCAGCTTCATATTTAATACCTGTCGTCTTTTGGGGTGTGACATTCAGTCATCTGGTTCACTCCAATGAAAAATAACCTTTTCTATTCGGTGGACGGAATCGAGCACTTAGCATTAGGACCAGGCGTTGCAATCTGACAGAACAATTTAAACCATAGGATGGACATACTGCCCGCATTGTCACTGTATAGCATGGACACACTGCCGCTGCTGAATTATTGTTGGCCAATGGAGCTTCAATGGGTCTGGGTGACAAGGTGAGAGCAGTTCATGTGCGTGCATGCTGATCTGATATTGAGCCGGAACATGAACTGCTGCAGCTGGACACTCTTCACGACATCTGGAAAGTACCTGCTGAAAATGGCATCTGCAAATTATATCCTGTTCTTCACAAAGCTTGTCCAAGTTTCAGACAATGGCTGCACAAATAGTGCCTGGTTGCCTTGAAACAAATGGTTGTCAGTGGATATGTCATTCAATTGTTATGTGTTGCAACCCATATCACAGAATAGCCTGTGCAATGGATGGCATAATGAACAATCGCAAGTTGCCATGCTTGAAGCGACACTGGTCTGATAGATTGTATTTTGGTGTGCTGTGAATAAATTCCATGGAAAATAGATACTCCTTTGACTGGATTACCGCGCTTCGGCAATGTCCTTATGCAGGCACCTGCCACTCTTGTTGCTGCATATTTTCAATTCTAACTGCAAATCACCTGTCATGCAGTGCTGAATTGCACTCTCCCTCTGCAATGAATACAATCCGTCTGCATTGGGTGGCAAATTGGAATAGCCAAATTCTGGCGATTCTGCTCTGTTAAACACTGCACACCTGGCTTTCACTGCCAGAGGCGAATTTTCCACTGTATAAAGTGATATCTGTCGCATTGCCCAAAAGGTCCACTCAAAAGACTAGTTAGTACTTTACTTTCTAATTAGGCTGCACTGTGGACCGCATGTGGCTATTGCATGTGTACTAATGCTCATCAAGTTTTTTCCCACTTCGGAAATTTATTTTTTGCAAACTTTGGAAAGGAGCTGCGAAACAAGGTGTGCTGGGCGTGTAGGATGGTCACTCTCCCCTCTATCATGCAGCATGGGGTAAAAGTGCAGCTGTGTTGCCTCTGCTGAAGAAGCACAGTGCTACTGGCGAGGTGCTGAGCGCTTTCCATGCTCATTTTCAGAATCTGTTGTGGATCTGGATTGCGGCTCATGCAAAGCGATAGGAGCATGTGGTACATTTTCATGGTGTTTATTTCCACATTGTTTTCAGAAGTTCCAGCTGTGCCTTGGGTAGCTTGGCCCGGACTGGTGCCTCCAGCACCTATAGCAATTCCCCATTTCAGCAAGCCATATTTGTCATGTACAATCATCTCGTCACTTATATACATTTCCCTCTTGCACGTATTATTGCGGTACAACACAAACCCATCTCAAGAAGACCCACGTATATATTCTCAACATGATGTGCACTAGCACTGGCACCACAATGCTGTGTTCAGATTATTCCCTTGTTCCTGTGCTTCTAAGCGACAGATTTTGTGATAAGTTCCCATGTCAGCGCGAAATCTGGGCTGAGCCCCTTCAGGTATGAGACAATTGAAACAGTGAAGAAAACTGTGCAGAGGTTCAATGACACTGAAGAGCGAAGGGCGTTGCTTACCAAACTGTATTCTTCTGTGTAGGGGAGGCCCTCATGCAATGCTGGAATTGTGACATTTATCCAGAAGCAAACGATTAAAGTCGAGTGCATGGTTGACGGGCTGCACGATGAGACTGCTGAAACCTTGAAGACTACTCTACGAAAACCACAGCGGTTTATTCAAAAGCATGAACTACCCTTCAGTCTGAAGAAATTCTGCACAGTTGTTGATGCAAGACTAGCGGCCCAAGGAATACGCCGAGAGCTGAAAGAGAAGATTTCATTCAGATTAGCAGAAAACAGAGATCCGCAGGACATCATTCAGGTGGTAGTACCAGAACCCATCTTCACTGAGGACAAGCAGCTTCTGAATGGCATGCTGTCGTATGTTCGAGAAGGCAAGCAATGCAGCAACGCCAGCAAGGGGCTTCTGCACGAATAGGAAAAAGCCAGAGGTAAGCATGTGAGAAGGAGTTCGGATTGGCTAGTTCTTGATGAGGCAGTTGAGGTTGAAACTGTGTTAGGACAGGGTGTACAGGCAGGCGTGCATGGAGGCAGGGGTATAAAGGTGAAGCAGTTGCTGTCCGAAATTCAACATCACCTGCACAGGACCAGCCCATTGACAAGTTGGCTGCACTTCTGAAAGAAGGATATTTACATTCTGAGCTCGATGCCAAGTACATCCCCCGGCTGTTTGCGATCACGAAACCCGGTTGGATTGTCGTGGAAATGGCAGACAGAGATTTCCACACACTTTGCCAGGAGAAGGCCGACCTGGCATGGTCAAGAAGGCTTCTACTTCTTCAGAAAGGTGCATTGAAGTACTTTCACAGCAAGAGGATTGCCCACAGCGATGTGAAAGGCAGCAATTTTCTGGTGTTTGGGTCCCTTGAAGATGATATGTTGTCGAGCTGGCAGATTTTGGCATTGCAAGCGACGACACCTTTACAAGAATCTTGACAGTGAGGGTGGGAGAGGGGACTGATGTGTATACGGCTCCTGAAGCTTACGATGGCGGAGTGTCCACTGCGGCATCGGACATCTTTGCCTTGGGCGTCGTTATGCATGATGTCATAACAGGCAAGGAAGCTTACTCTGTTGAGGGTAGAGAACGGAATAGATATTTTCTCACGATGCTGAAAACTCAGGGTAGGCAGGAGGGAAAGCCAGTTGAACCTTGCACCATTTTTCCGCGGGACTGTTCAGAGGAGATGCACAACTTGATGAAGACGCGCTGCAGTGAGGATCTTGAGGGGATACCTTGCAAGGGGAATTGACAAGGTAATGCATGATTGGGCAAGGAAAACATAGGAAATGAAGTTATAGTAATAGGGTGGAACAAACAAGTAGGAGGCGGTTAGTCAAAGTATGGTGTTGTGCATGTGCACAACAAATGGGTGTGACAGAATGTCTGTATTACAGTACCATTCTCCCTAAAAAGGGTTAGGAGAAGTGACTGCGTGTTCTGATCGTCGTGTGTGAGTGTGTGCACAAGCTGTAGCCCACCAAGGATGTGTTGCCCGCCCACACTCTCCCAGACTGGTGACAATGCAATTTCCAATGCCAAGGAATGTCAGCACCAGCGTTCAGACACATTAGGCAAGCCCTTCATAACTGTTTTTTGCCAGGCCTGTTACGATCTCCCTTGCCCCAGAACGCCCCACCCCATTCGCCCCCTCCCAACTGGATCGTCCACAAATTGGAGCCGACGATGTTCCATGCAAGCGCTTCGTGTCCACCTTGCATTGGTGCAGGATTATGCAAGTCTCTATGGGAACCACCTTTTAATTGCTGATGTCGAGCAAACATTGTGAACAATGAAATGGCAGACAGGGCCCAACCCGTCATTCAGAGTGCAGGGCCAAAGTGCTCATCGTCCCAAAAAGCCACACTTGTCTGGAATTCGAAGAGACTGCCTTGGTCGATCTTATGCAAAGCTGGGTCTGGAATTCGCTTTTTGCAAAAGGGCGCTTTGAGCGCACAACAACGTGCCAACAGACGCTGTTATTATCATCAAGAATGCAAACGAGCCCACACAGTTTTGTCCATGAATCAGTTGGTAAATGTCGTTGTCTTAGCATTCCCACATAATCGCGCCGTGCCTTTGCAATTCACTTTGCAAATGACTACACAACAACTGTGCCAGTACCATGTGTATGCTGCAGTCCAACCCCACGAGCTGTCTAATCCAATCAATACCTACACTCAACCACTTCCCGATTTCCTGCACCTGCTGAAAATGCACAAATGGCTGCTGCAACCATAAAGATTCTGACCTAACTACAATCACTGCCTTGAAGAAAATCAACGAGCCGGAGGATGATACCTCTTCAATCGCTTTGGGGTGGGAGAACTGGCATTTTCCCTCCGTGCCGCAGCAGTGACTTGCAGCTCTGAAAGTGCGATCCGTGCCATCGTGTTCTTGGGGCACCACTTCTCAACCTTGTGCAGAATTTTGTTGGGCGCTGGAAGGTTTTTGCGGGGCGTGAGGAGGGGCGGCCTGGTGGGCTCGACTGCAGTGTTTGTTGTGTCTGGGACCATTTCTAAGAGATCGTTCAAAGCCCGCAATTGCGCCGTCATGGCAAACATACGGTGTGTTAGGCCCTTCACTGTGTTGTCAGAGTACTTGTCATCTGTGTCACCAATGAAAAAGTGATTAGGCCCAGCAAGACGATATGTGATGGGATTTACATGTGTTTTCATCAACTTGATCCATTGCAAACTGCAGTTTCTGAAGTCAGTTGTTCATGCTCACATAAGCAGTGTGCATCAAACCGCAATTGTGGCAATACAGATAGATTTCATGGTTACCAGCAGTTACATTGATTTGGTACCTGATCTACCTTCACTGCCAGATGCAGTGAGCATCGTTCAATTGTGAATGCACTATTGTGGACAATGTGTGGACCTGAATCAGAGAATTCACAATGGAAAGGAAACCAACATTGACTGGCTCAATTCTCAATGGGGACAATTCATTGCCTAATGTTGAATAAATTGCAGTTGGTGAACACTTTTATTTCAAGAAGTTGAGAAAATATGAAGACACCTATCTGCACATTCTGAGGCCAGAGTCAGCGTTGACAAATAAAATGGGTGGACATTGCAGTAAACAATGCCTTCCTTGGCCTGAATAATGGCACACTGCTGATGCACCGCAGAATCAGCCCTGCCAGTTTCAGGGTTGGGAAAATGACACAGTCTCCCTTAGAATTTAGGGGGAACGATGCAGTGTTTACATGTTCAGGCAACCCAGATACCTTCCAACTTTTGTTCAACGATTCCTTGCAACATTCGGAATCCTTTGTATTGATAACATGTTGAGAGAATGGTGAAAATCACAATGTTATCACTACCAGGGGCACTGGCCCCTTCCTCAGTTGCCAGAACTGCTTCACGTACTTTTTGAATGGAACCACTGTGCATTTTTGCAACAGCGACCCCAACTAGAAACATTGGTGGAATGCAATTTGTTGTGGCAGCATCAGGGTGGTGAGAGTAGACATTAATCAAAGCTAGGTTCAACCTGCTGAGGTCATTGGGGCATCAGGTTGGTGAGCTTGCATTGAAAAGGACTCTCATGCAGGTCATGTTGGCGTTCCAAGCCACCCGATCAGTTGGTGAGACTTGGGCGTAGCATACCAGGGAATGCTAACTGACTTGCTTGTGACAAACTTTGCAACCACTCAGATCGAAACTGCAACAATCCCCAGATTCTGGGCAACCACAAGGCTGCGCATTACCTTCCACTCGCCCCATGGCCTTCCTCTCTGTTGCGATGGTTCTGGCCAGCACCCCAGCAACAGCCTCCCACTGCTTCACCAGCTGGCGCATCTCACCCATCACCATGGCGGCCCGCCCCCTGTCGTAGCACAACAAGCGAAGCAAGGAGACTATTGACAGGAAGACATCCTGGTGCTCCCTGAAGGTTTGGAGGCGGTCGGTAAGGGTAGCCAGGGCGTCCTTGGTGAAGACGTTGGCCACCAGAGACGCCCTTGAGCAAATGTTGGACAGGGAGTCCAGGCTGTGTTGCAGCGCGGTCATGTGGTGCTTGTTCTTGTGGCACCTGTGATGCATCAAGTTCTCCTCGTACTTGCCGATCCAATGTCATGCAGCATGTGCTGTGAGACATTTGCTGGGACACTAGGACTCGACATCAGTTGACTGTTTAACGATGAATATACAGTTCTGGATGATTTTATTGTCAGGCACCAGCACTTGACGTGATGAACACGCTTTGCCACCCCGTTGTGGTAAAGCATCCATTCATTCGATGAATGGCAGCTGTGTCAAACACAGCTAATGTTCATAACTTGGTATCCCAACGCTTTCCTCACGCAAACCATGGCCATGTTGACCCCTTTGTTTTGTTTATCAGACAGAAAAGCCTGCACACGGCGATCACAGTCAAGAGTGCATGCCCTACCCAGATTGCGCTACATTAAACAACCATGCTCTCCACTGGCAGCAAAAGTGTGCTTCATGCTACCCTTGTCCAATTGTCTGCTAAACCAGGATGTCCCATGGCTTGACTATTGCCCGCCAGCACACTGGAACTAACAACTTTCACGAAGACATTACACAACATCAGGGAAACGACTGCGCTTGCAGCAGAACGACCACAGCGATTAGGCTATCGGATGCCTAAAAGTGTGACGGATAAAGTCATAGTCACTGTCACTGTCACACGCCCCAAGCATGGGATTAGTCGCTCCGTCTTTCCGTGTGGTTCCCATCTTGTTTCCGGACATCCTAAACCACTCACCACCCGACGGGCGCTGGCCTTGTCAGCGGAAGGAGAACGGATCCACACGGGAAAGGCAGAGGGGCTGACATTATTCTGCACGTCCCACATCCCACCTCACCTGGCGATGAACTGCACCAGCGCCCCCACCCCGCCACCCTCCACCACCATCTGGCAGCACCCCACGCTGTACTGCGTGCATATTGCGATGGTGGACACCGCCGCAGCCGCCGCCTCCACCGTCCGACTCCTGCACAGCTGCTCCAGCGCCGCCCTGCACCGCGCCCCGATCCGCCTCTCCGGCCGCAGCCTCGCCTCGGCCGCCCTCTCCCTCAGCCGCCGGCGAACGCGACCGAATTTTGCGCCGGCCCGCATCCTCGCCATCCTGCCCCTCCACAGGGCCTGCAGCTTGATGATCGATGCCACATCGGACTTGTGCTTTTTGACGGCCAGCCAGCGGCGGACGCCGGCCTGGATGGCCACGGCGGCGTCGTGGCGGCGTCGGAGCGATCGGCGCCATGCGCGCTGGATGGTAGTGGCGGCGCGGCGGGCGCGGAGTAGGCGGCAGCGGTCGAGGAAGGCGGGGGCCCAGCGGGAGAGGGTGCGCCTGGCGGCCGCCAGGCGGGCGGCTCGGCGGATTGCGCGGCGTCTGTGCACCGCCTGCGGGAGGACGGGATCGGCCCTGGAGTGAGCTTAGGGGTTTGGAAGTTTTGGTGGATTCCCAAATATCCGTGGCAAACGAAGTACCCAATTTTAGAATTCAAATATCGATGAGATGACAAATCCATTTTAGATTCCAAAACATCCATGAAATGTAGTATCCATTTTAGATTCCAAAATATCCATGCAATGAAATATCCAATTTTTGATTCCAAAACATGCATTCAATGAAGTACCCATGCATTGATGAAATATCCATGTATTGGTTGGATGTGGGCTGAGCAAACTTGAGGCACGAATTCTGTATCTCTGCATTTGCAACAAGGATTGAAAGAAGTACACTCTGCAGACGCTCAAAAGGTGTCTGCAGATTGAAAATTGGCAAGTCACAAGCTCCATGTCCTTGTATTGAATTGAGAAGTGACATCCACAAAGCCTTCCATGGATTGTGTACCAAGCCATGCATTGCATTGTCAATCCCAATGCACCAGACAGGACTCAGTATAGTATGTGGCCCTTGTTTTGATGATGGAGACGATAAAAAACAGTTTTCGGAACACTCCGTGAATGGAACTACAGCTGGCATTGCCGACAGCATGCCAGGGCGTCATGCTGCTGCTTTTTGACCACTGACATCCAACTCTGCTTCAGATCTATACATGGGCACAGGCAAAAGGGACATCTTGTCCAGCAGTGACAGAGAACGACAAGCACCTTCAGAATTACGCCAGATGCCCATTGTTCCCGCCGCCTCTGCCTGGCAGCCTCCAGAATTGGCTTCGTCCACTTCCTCACAAGGATCCCACGCCAGTGTGCTTGAATTCTTCTGGCAGCTGCCGCCTGGGCCTTGCGCTCCTCGGCACGTGCAATCACTGCTGGCAGGTCCATGCGAGCAAGATGGCCCCGCACAAAGCGTTGCACGCAGACAGCAGCACGGTGCTGGCACTCCAGTGCCTTCCTTGCACGCCAGCCCCTGAAGATTCTGCAGTGGGCATGGTCCTGGAATCAGTCATTTGACACTAGAAATACGCGCAGATTTGCAAAGCAGTTGACAAAAGCAACCGCACCAACGCACATGCCAGAAGCCACGAAATAAGTGACCACTGCCCAAGGAGAGGAGGAAAACAGGTAGGACTAACCTCTGGATGCAGATAGCTGCATTGTCACGTTGCTGCGCCTTGCTTATCATCCACAGACGTGCACAGCGTTGGATTCGCACTATGGCTGCTCTAGTTTTAATGTATCGTTTCCTCCATGAGAAGGAACGGAAGCCAGCCTGCCACAAGCAGAAAACCAGATCCATGAGAGGCAGTGGCAAAGGGCAGAGTGCACTCGCTACAGCTTCTGAAGATGCTCTGAAGCAGAAGGCAATAGGAATCGCGTTGCCGCTGCTGTATTTCAGAAATGTAGCAGTCACACATCTCTTGATACAGCTTTCTGTTCTTACAGCAGAGGTACAGTTGGCCACAACAATTTGAATAAGTGCTACTGGGGCGCCCACTCCCAGTGAACGTGATATGAGAAGCCTGATGCTGTGCTGATTATATTCCAGTTGAAAACCAACAGAATATGCCTGATGTCTTCCATGTCACAGAGCCTGTATTGCTCGTGGTTGCTGACCAATGGAGGTGTTCTTGTTCATATTTTGGGGATGGCATTGAAGAATTTGAGGCGAATGTGCTTGTGTTTGCTTTTCTGATGCGTGCGACTGAGGGGATAGCTGCTGCAAAGCAGATTTGGGCAATTTATTGCTGTCAGCAACAGCATCTCAGATGGAAAAGAAGCTCTTTCCTGCAACGAATCTGTGCTGCAGCTGAACAATTCTCTGTTCTACATTGTATCTTGCTGAGATTGGAGTCACCAACAAGAGTTGTCAATAAGATTGTGAAGCTCGGCACTCAGCCACGTCATAATGCATTGCTAAAAACCACACAAACAACAGGTTTGCAGAGAGTGTGATGAATCCGCAATTACCACAAACCAACCCTGGCCAGTCAAATTTGGATGCCACTCATAATTGGATGCCCTCAGAGGTCCTGGCATCCACTACAGGCTGGTGCGTTTTGGGTTGACAAAAATCATGTTGTCCCACCTGGATGCACACGACAGCCTTCAACAACCTTTGGTAGTGCTTCCTTGCCCGCCACATGCGACAGCAGCTCTGAATTGCGATGGCAGCACGTTTGGTGTTTGCAAAGATATGGCGCTGCACCCTCCCATGCCAAGCAGCCTGAGAACACACAAGGCGCATCAAATTGCATGGTCCCAATTTACTGACACAGTACAGAATTACTACATACTACGTGGCCAGGGATTCGACAATCAGAACGCCTCAGTTCAACTGACTGAGACAAAGGAACAACAGGGACCATGTGGTGCCACAATGGAATGCACATCTCACAGACATAGTTCAGAGTACCAGCAAACAAGGAATTTAGAAGAAAAATAAGTGAGTTGGTCCATCAACGCCAACAATGGCAACAGCAGTTGTGCTTCATTCTTGCATGCGATTCACAATTGCAACAGAAAACGGAGTATGTTGACACAAGAACATCTCTTGTCACTGAAAACAAACAAAAATCCATTCTGAATACTATGGACAGCAATACCAACCCTGATAAGGGTCCCTGGGCATCCATGTCATCCACAAGCGAATCAGCACTGAATGAACTAGCATCGTCAACAAAACAGCACTGTACAGGCTTGTGGATGATGGCAAGTTTCTGCCTAAGCCAATGTTGCAACTCACTGAGTACAACAAATGCCGTCAAAATGGAGCTTGTAACATAGGATGGTATAAATGTTCTCGGCACTGTCTCTAGGCACCACCATGCAGGCAGAAGTTGCCAGGCAAGCGTGCCAAACATCCAGTCCTCTTCTGAAAGAAGGGAATGGAATCTGAACACAACAATGCTCAATTTACGATCAAAGGACCAAAGATAGAGCGTTCCACACCTGCATGTGCTTCGCTGCCCAGGTGATGCGCTTGTAACGCAATTGTGCACGGCGCATTCTTGCAAAAGATTGAATTCTGACAACGGCCCGCTTGACATGCAGAAAATTCCTCCGTTGGACACCCCCACGACGCAAAGCCTGCAGATGCAGATTAAGAACCAAACTCGTTACCTTTCTCCTCATCCAGATTTTCAATCCCAATGCAACACTGGTGTTACATTTATTGCTCCCAAGCCTGACTGTTGAAGTACATGTTTGTAACGATTCCGCCCACATGAGGAACCACAAATCGGCAACCAGTAAGCTCTGGGAGCAACAAATGAATGGCAGAGTGAATTTAGCCATTCTAGGAGCGACGCTCTTTACAAGTTTACGAGCAAACAATTGTGACATTGTAGTTGCAACGGCGCCCACTCGCAATGTCCATTGAAATAATAATTTCAAGTTGAAATGAATCAGAAAACAAGGGCAATCCTGTTTGGAATGGCTGCTGTTGTAGCCATTTCGCCCTCACAAGCATCAGCACTTGGTGAGCACTGTAAGATATTGCGGCCCTGGAGGAACAAATGTCTCACCTGGAGCCGGGTGGCCGCCAACAGCGCCCGTTTGTGGTCCCTGCGAACATGCCAACCTCGTGCGCCAGCCTGCAGTTTTAGGACAGACTTTTTCACACGCAGGTAGTGCCTGCGCTGGATGGCTCCTCGTCGATTCGCCTGGAGTGGGGCCACATATCAGCATGTTATGCACAAAACAGATTGGAGAAGATAAACAAGTGTGCTACAAATCTACCACAAGTAAAATGCCGACGGCTCTTCTAACCCTACTTTTGTGGAATTGCACTGCATCAAAGCAAAATCCATAGTCACGGGCTTGGGACCTACCACAGATGGTATTGCTTGTTGAGTCCTTTTACTGTCGCATCAAGGGACTTGCTCATCGCCTTGATAATTCTAAAGATGGAATTCTCTAAATATTGTTGAAGAAGTTGTTGAAATAATGGACAATATAACATTGTCGTTTTTTCCTAACATTTGTCTCAGGTAGGGGTTCTAGATTGCCTGCCACGTTGCCAAAGTCGCGTATTGTTAGGTATCGTTCGAACTCCCTACGCATCATCTGTATGATATCTCCAACTGACTCAACTTACGCAGTTCGCTCAAACTGATGACTGACAGGAACGTGCTGAAGCCCTTCCCCTCACTGGTAGAAAACATCATGTTTGCGACGCCAGCTGCGATGCCATTTTGACGCAAACTGATGCCGTCACAGTGAGTGCGATGGCATAAAAAGGGCTGTGATGGCATCAATTTGTGTCAGATGGCATTGCTGTTGGCATCGCAAACAGGCTGTTTTCTACTGGTGCCTGGCACATTGCGTATGCGGCCCATCCTACCTGTAACCGCCTGGTTGCTTGCCGTTTCCGGCGGTACTCCTTCTGTGCCCGCCAAGCCCGTGTCCCCGCCTGGATGGTGGTCGCGGCCTTGCGGGCGCGCAGGTACCGGCGGCGCTCGACGGACCCCCTTCGCGTGGCCTGCACCTTCAAAGTGGCCTTCTTCACGTGGAGGAAGTTCCGGCGCTGGATGGCGCCGCGACGAGTGGCCTGCGGACAAGGGCACAACAGCATTGCCGGCATGCATTTCGAATAAGTCGTTGGCACCTGGCAATCAGGCCAATTCGGCAGCACACACAGGGCCCACTGGCGTCCGGTGGTCTGCTCACCGAGTCGGCTTTGGGCACAGCACGCCCCCACGCCTTCCGCGCGTCATCAGAACCCTTCTAGCGGGCGTCACGCGTCACGGATGGGCAGTTGCGGAAATGGGCGCGCACCACTGCCCTTCCATCACCGGAATCGGTGACGTCGCCGTTTACACTTCGCAAGTGGGCGTGCAGACAAGCTTCGGCAAAAAAAGGCTCACCAAAGTTCACCAACCGCCGCTCCAGGACAGGATTCTCAGGAAACGCCCTGCACAAGAGGCGCCCAGCGCAGGGCTCCCCTGCCAGTTTCAGGTAAATTTCGTCGCACCTGCAGCCTGCTGGTCGTGTGCAGTATCCGATGATATTCCTTGCGCGCGCGCCACGTCCGCGCGCCCGCCTGGATCGTCGTCGCGGCCTGTCGAACGCGGAGGTATCGGCGCCGCTGGACGGATGCCCGCCTCGTGGCCTGCACCTTCAAAGCGGCCTTCTTCACGCGCAGGTAGCTCCTGCGCTGGATGGCACCCCGGCGAGCTGCCTGCAGGCAAAAGCGCGCGACCACGCCGGTTGATGAATTGCGTTTCACAAAGTCCTGTGCGTGCACGGAACTGAGCGCCATGTTGCATGGAGCCACGTTGGTTTTCGTACCCGGTTGGTTGGGTATAGTGCAAGAATTCGTTGGGAGAGCGCACACCGATGTTGCCTCACAATATGCGTGTTGGCCTACGCGCCTGCGCAGAAGCTGGTAGAAAAGCTCCATGGAGCTTTGCTGACGGCTCCTGCGCAAAAACAGGCAGATTGGCCCGCCAAAAAGTTTCGGTGCCGTGGCCAGATCAGGCGCACGGGAGTGACCGCGCCGGCCCACCTGCAGCCGACGCGTGGCCCCAAGGACCTCTCGGTACCGCCGCCTCTCGCGCCACGCCCTGGCCCGCGCCTGGATGGTGCGTGCGGCCGCCCTCATCCTCAGATACCGGCGCCTCTGCACCAGCCCGCGCCGCATGGCCTGCATCCTCACGATGAACGCCCTGCGCCCATCATTCTCCCGCAGGCGCACCAGCCACGACCGCACGGACCTCTGCACGATCCCAACTGCCGCCTCGAACCGCCTCAGGTGAAATCCCGCATTGACGGTGGGCAAGATCCGCCCCCTCCAGGCGCGCTGGATGACCAAGGCCGCGCGATCCTCCTTCGAAGTTTCCAGAAGGCGCGCGCAGAGGAAGGCGACGAAGAGGACGATCGCCTTTTCTTCCGCACCGTGATGGGCAAAGTCGTCAGCGGCGGGGGCCTCCGGGGTGCCGCCCAGCGCGCAGACGGCCTCGGAAGCCAGCTCGAAGTTGCGGGCCACCAGACGTCGGCGGTCCTTGGGGCCCGAGGGATGGCGCGGGGCGTCGGCGCCGTTGTCGTCGGGGCGGGGCGCCAGGGGGGCCGGCCTGATCCTGGCCGCCCCGCGCGGGATGTAGATGTCGTCCTTGAGGAGGTAGTTGGGGAGGTAGTGGTTGACCTGCGGGGTGGTTGCGACAGGGGATCAAAGCCGTGCTCGGCCGCATGGCCAGAAACGCTTAGGACAAACAGTACGGGCAGCTCACCAAACCGTGTCTTGGAGCTCGTTGCATACAGTGCGGTCAGCGGAATGGGGAGCACGTGATGCTTGAGTTGCGCAGTGGAAGCAGCGCAAAATGATACGTCAAAATCCCGTTTCCAATTATAGTATCCAATTATTTCCTTTTCAATTATAATACGAGTCATGGACGAGTCACGCAACAGGCCACTGAACATCAACTAGTTCATCATGTGGCCCCGTTGTGAGTATGCGCCCACGTTAAGCAGACGAGCTAGAGCGTCTTTACGTTGACTTACTTTCCACTCAAGGCGAAGAAAACGGATCCCCCTCTAAATTGCGACCCAACAAGCCATTTCGCACCAACAAGCACAGCACGCTTCCATCGGCGAAGGATGACGTGAAGTTCTTCACTTGGACTCCATGGGGCTCCACCACGGCCTGCACCCACTTCATCAGCAGATACAGGATTTCGCTTTTGGGCATCAGGCCAGCCACACAATTGTGGGGCATGAGCGGCCTGTTGCCCGGCTCTCCCTGCAACCTCACTCGAAAGATCTCCAGTTGCAGGGCCCTGGTATTGATGAGGCGAGGGAGCTGGGGAAGGTGCAATACACTGCGCGTCAATGCTATGGGAATGTGTTGCCAGTCAGCAGAATGCATTGAGTTCCAACATGGCACTGTGTCCTTGTCCCCAGTGACGTCCAACTCAAGCTGCAAAGTGTGCATGGGTCAGAATGCCATTCCCTTGTGGGGCGACGGACTAAGGCTGAAGTTCCCCATATCTTATTGCCAGCAGTGAAGTACATGACACTTGAGTCGAAGGTGGGGGGGTGGGGGTGGGGGGGGGGGAGGGACATCAATCGCAATGTCTGTTCGCATCTTCACTGCCTTGCACAGAATATCTCCACCTGGTGTTGATGGCTGTCCATAAGGAAAAACGAAAGGCACATGTCCCCGAAACAACGATGGCAAAGGTGGACGTTTACTAGCAGCAATATGCACCGTTACAAAAGCAGCAAGAAATCCCCGATTTAACATTGTTTGGAGGTCGACATCAACAGAACAGGGCGCACAAGATCGCCACCCCAGTTGACATATTTCGATTTGTGCACCAGTTTCACAGAGGCGAATCTTTAGAGAGCGTTATCAGTGAGGCAGATGTGATTTTGGTGGCCTTCCTTATGTTCTGTGTCAAGCAACACAAAAGGTAAGCCACCCATCGCTAGTTTGACTGGCACATCAGGACATCAAACAGAAAAGCGTATTGGAAGGTCGATCCTGCACCTCTACACTGCATCTGTCAACTGGCTATTGCACACTTCAAGACACATCCTACGAGCCAGCACTGTCTGTTGGGAGCCTCAATAATGGACAACCGAGTATGTCCTCAATGTACCCAGTCAAAGGAGGTGTTTGTCCTGCTTCACACAGATAACGTCCAACTGGGCAATTTGGAAACAGCGCTTAGTGCTCACTACCTTGTCCTTACAGTGCCAATAACGGTACAAGGATTTCCACCATGTCGCACCTGAACATGGAGAGCAATGTTCCACAGGAACTGCAGGCTCTTCTCCCTGTGGCCATCCACCAAGTCCTGTGGCTGCAGCTGGTCGCCTGCCATCCGCAGGATCTGCTTGTTGCCCCTCGACAGGGCTCTCAGGGCCAGCTCTATGTTTTGGACCTTCACGATTTGCCGCTCAGCACGGAAGCTTGCCTTGGACAGTAAGTCCTTGCAGCCTGGAGAAGATCGCAGTGGAGTTCAGCTGTAGCAATACACTTTAAATTCTGTACATTGATGCCATACGAATGTGAACCATTGCATGTACACAGGTATAGAGCCATTCATGCATGGTGATGGACGACAGATGCAGCAAGCACACACGCATGAAATCTGACTTGAACATGATGAAATCAGGACTACCATCGCAATTCTGTCATGCATGGAATTGTGGGAGGAGGTAGATGACGTACAGAATATTTTGATCTAGTTGACATGCATATTGGAGGCTGGATATTCTCCTTTTCTTCTCCTCTTGTTCCTTTCTTGCTGAGGTACTCCAAAAGTGCAATTTGCAGATGTCAAGAATGCTGCATGAGACCTGTGGCTGCACTTGCCAATGAAAGGAAAAGAACATGAAAGGAATAATTGCTTCGCTGCCCTGGCCTAAATGAGGTGAGCAAGCACAGCCTACGCGGTTTCAGAATGAGCATGTATTTCTTCGTGGACTGGACATCGCTCCAATGAGAATGATGTTTAGCAACATGCATATGAAATGGTGACTGTACATTGGGGATTGGGCATTGCCCTGGCAGGAATACTTCAGTAACAGAGTCAGGGTTGCACAAGGGTATCTTTTTGCAGAATTTGTAAAACACACAAGACTTTGCAGGCACATCCAGCTTTTGGGGCTGTGGAGTGCATGGGGAGGCGAACACATGCTCGCCTGTTAATGCCTGTGCCAGTTTGCACAGGCGGATGCCATCCCTCAGGTCCACTGCCAGGGAGTCGATCCTGTAGTTGTACTCGTTTCTACTGATCTGTATGTACTGCAGGCAGTAGCCCATCAGCTCCAGCTGCCGTATAACATCGCCACTGCCATGCATGCTGCCCGCAAGAAACTGAGTCACCATCTGCAGAACCCACACTGGACCATTGGTCAAAGGTGATTGAATGAAATGGGCTGCATGCTTTGTTACTTCAAAGGGATTGAATGCACTCCAATCCAAGGCGTTCTACCACAGGGGCATGTGCACACTGACACAGTCCACTTGATTAAAGGGGGGCCTTCAGTTGGCCAAAACACAAGTTTTGCTAATCCAAGGGAATGAAGACATCCTCGTGCAGGCAATGTGAAACTACACAATGGTCATGGCTTGAGGCAATACTGCAGCCAAATTGCCAGGTGTATTAACAAACTAACGTTCGATTTGGAGCTCACAATCTACACCAATGGATATGGGTGCAACAGAATGTATGGCTTCATGCAGCTTGACAACCAACAGACTAGGTGCCCAAAAGGGCTTGAATGTGCTGCATTGCCAGCCCCGATGCCAAAGAAGCCTGAGCATATTGCATGTTTGTGAGAACATGGGATCAATTTCGTTGATCATAATTTTTGCTAGATAGGTGTAAGGCAATCGTGAAAACCAGGAATTGTGGAAATGAAGTGCAAGGAATCTCGTCGTTTTGGGCACACCTGTGCAGATGACTTGATCTTGGCATTGACGTCAAAGAGCAGTGGGACTTGGAAAGGTAGTGTGGCCCTTGTGACCGCCCTGTCAAGCAGTGCCACCAGTAGCAGGAATCGCTTGAGAATAGATGCTCCACAATAGGCCTGGTCGCAGAGGATCACAACATTTGTGACAATCAAAGACAGCGCTCAGCTGTATCCTTGTGGTCTGCAAGTCACATAGTCCATCACCACAAGACACCCAGTTTCATGTTTGGTGCACGGGTACAGCCAATCATGCAAGCAAGACAACAACCAGATTGTTGTCCAGCTTCTCTTGGACTGTTATCTTGCAATTCAGTAGGGCCGCAGGTACCACATGGTTTAGTACCAATGAGATGAAACTTCGTTCTGAGGCGCATTTGATGATTGCTTGTTGTGTTCACAGCGCCACAGGTGATGTGAATGTGATGCTGAGGAGCTGCGGAACAGGAACTTGGATGAGTGGCAAGAAAAAGAGGCCACAGAAGTGTTGAGAACCATACATGATTTAGTTCTCTTGGGTGCATTGTACAGTCTTTGGACAGTCTTTGGATTTTTGTTGTATCCAGCCCTTTGCCATTCACACAGGGAGACTAGCATACAAAAGATGTGCAAAACCTTGTCCTGCATCAACTATGCCTTTTCATGCAAAAGGTTATGTTTTTTCTTGCATAGCAAAGTGAACCATGCCTCCATGAATGACCTGTACAGCAGCAGGTGTCCTGATATCTTGCAGGCATATTGTCCATCGCAGCAGCAATACACTATATGGATCCTGGCAATCTCTCCTGTGCATCTGGAATTTCATGTGCACAATGCCATGGATTCAAACGTCAAGCCCACTAACTTGAATATGGGAAACTTCCAATTCAAAATTGTGAACAACAATGCAGTAATAATCGATCCAGATGTCCGCATAGATCACATCGGTAACGACATGACCACAGACCACCCTTGCCACTATTGGGACAAGTCAGGCTCTGTTGAAATGCACAAGTGTTTGCTCCCAAAGTGCTTTGTCCCTGTTTCTATGCAAGGCCAAAAATTGCTCCTGCGAATACAGATGTGGGTTGAAGCTTCAGCATGCCTACCTCATATTCATCATCAATGAGTTTGTTGGCAGTCTTTAGTGCCTCCAGTCTATGATCCACCAGAAATTGGCATTTTATGAATTCTGGCAGATTTTGGCAGGCAATGGAAGCGGCTCCACACGCAGAATTGTCCTGTGCGCCTTGACAGCATAAAGAGAGCCCATGCAGCCATTGTAACGTTTGACATCAAGGCATCAAAACCCACAACATCGATGAACTGCAGTCAGCAGGTGGCCATAGATGTAGCATTGATTGAGGACAGCAAGAGTTTTTATTTCGCATCTACAAGCTCTTGATGCCCATAATGACATGCAAAGGACAGTGCTTTGTTGCTATTCGAAAAACGTGATCGTTGGTTTGACACATGCTCCCTTCCCTTGCTTCAGCTCGGTCGTCATTCCTGTGAATTTGGTTCACACAATTCTTGAAAATCTATTGTAGTTCTGATTCCTTGGCGATTTTGTTGTCCAGGTTTTTTGTATCCTTTCCCTTTCAACTTTGCCCCACAGTTCCCCAAGCTCTGTGATTGACCCCTTGATCTTGCAGGGCTGTTCAACACAAGGGACTCCCCCAGCACCCTACCGTAGTCGGCACTCGACGCCCACCGCACGACGATCTGAAGTCCCAGCTTCAGCCAGAATGGGTCATAGGCCATGAGCATCTTCACGGCCCTCTTTCTCAGCCTGACGTCGTGCAGGAGGCCCCCATGCGGCAACATCCTGAAGCGTCCCCGGCTGATGTGCCCCTCCAGCCTCATCATCGAATTGATGACGCCGACGTCGGCCCTGCAGATCGTCTCCAAGACGCCCCGCACCCGCGCAACCATCCGCCTGGAAGCCAACGCGTGGGGGGTGGCGTCTGGGCGCGCGCGCTCCTGTCCCATGCCGGGGGCCAGGAGGTGGTTCAGCCAGGCTGTGTAGGCGGTCTCTTGTTTCTCCATCCACTGCCTGGCGGCAACAGGCGTTTGTGAATGCCTCGAACGCATTCTTCGGATCGGAACAGAGGAGCCAGGGAGCCTGTGACGCGAAGAAAGGGCCGCGGCAGGGCCATGCATTTGTTCACGGCGAGTTGCTCATGGCCACCACATGTCACCACATGCCCAAAAGGCCAGGCGGCAGCGGCAAGAAAAGAACGCATTGGCTGCCGAGGGGGGGGGGGCGAAACCAGGGGACATCTTTGTCAAACCTTGGCCCAGCCGCAGGCAAATAAACCCTGTCGCGCAGCCCCGTCTCACCACCCAATCGACGCAAAAGCATCGCCAATCCAACAACACGCCGAGCGCAGGCCAGACTTTAAATCGAAGGCCAATGGCATGGTGATCGATTCGCACAACTTGTGACCCGCGTCAGCGCCGCTGCCCGCCCCCCCGTCCCTGGCCGCGACAAGCAACCAGACCAGACTTCACTCACTCTGGGCTGTACGGAGTGCGTCGCTCCACGCCATCCTCCGACCAGTCCGCATCGCGCCCCTCCTTCCCCCTCCCGCCCAACTCCGGCGTCATCAAATCAACCAGGCAGGCCCCCGAATGGACGCTGGCCGCCCCCGCAGCCCCCCCCGAGCCCCCGGCGGGCCGATCACCCTCCGCCTTCCCAATTCAAAATTCCAAACCCTCGCAACGCAGCGGAAGATGCGCGATCGATGCCAGTCGACCGAGGCGAGTGGCGCCGCGCCTCGAATCCCTCGCCAGCTGCTCAAAGTTCGACGCCCGACGCGTCCGCCACTCCCGGCCGAAGCCACCGCCGCTGCCCCACGGCCCCACATCACCACCCCGCCAAACCCACCCGCTGACGTAACCCCCGAGTTTCTGGTACCCCGCCAATTTCGAATTCAAAAATCCCCCCCTCAACCACGAGGGCTCGCCCCAGGGGCAGGCCTGCGCCCCGCGCCCGGGGCGCCAAAGCGGCAGAAAAACTCCCAACGTTCGCTGTGAGCCCCTCTGCCGCGTCCCAGCCCAAGTCACTGAGATGCCCATTGCCGCTGTGTTGCGCTAATCGATCCCTCACAGCAGAGGACGGTCCATACTATCGGCCCGGTGGCGCGGGATTCGCGGCATGGCCGGCGGCGGCGGCGCGCGCCGGTCGGGCAGATACAGCCTGCGGCAGCAGCCCGCACGCAAATCGGCGGAGTCGGAGGGCGACGGGTCGATGCGACAGGTCACCACGCGGCGGACGGTGATGAAAGTGTACGAGAGCGCGAGGGGCGTGAGGACCGAGCACGAGGAGAAGGAGGTCGTGGTGGAGGAGCGAGAGGTGAGCGTAGCTGTGCATTGCAGGTGCGTGCATTGCCCACCACTTGCTGTGCATTCGCGATGAACATCGCTGCGTGGTGTGAGGGGGCAAGACTTGTTGCAAGAAGTCGTACAAGGGTACCCCCTCTTGAGCAAGTGTGCGCGAGGCTCTTTTTCATGCTGTGCATTGCAATAAACATCGCTGTTTTGGGTGAGAGGGTAAGGTTTGTTGCAGAGAGAAGGAAACGCTTTAGGCAAGGGCACCCTCTACCAAGCAAGTGCATGCGAGACTCCTTTCCGTGCTGTGAAAGGTGATGTAAAGCCTCCGATCGGGTGAGGGTGCTGCTTCGCCGCGTGTCGGCGTGCGCCCGGTGCAGAGTTTTGGGTTGGATTTGTTGAAATGCGATGGTGCCTTGGGGTTTTGGAAGGCGATCTCGGTGATGGGGACGCGTGGGTAGAGTCAAGGAAGATTTGCGCATCACAGCGATGCTGACGGTGCTCGCCTGCCCTCTGAGCAGCTGGGGCTGCAACGATCGTCGAAACGGCAGCGCAAGACGACCCACCGCTACAGCCCCGGGGAAGACCGCCGAACTGGCAACTACGCCCGGCAGCGGGAGCTGGGCCTCAGGGAACGCCACCAGAGACCCACCTCCGAGGAGAGCGGCGACTTCGGCGACGCAGCCGCGTCAGAACCCACAAGACTGCAGTCGGAAACAGAGGTGAATTTTTTGACCCTAGAAACTTTTTTTTGCTTTTTTTTGAAGGTGAAGCTTCAGAGGCGAAATTGTTACACAGTTTGTGTTTGTTGCTGTGTGGCAGTACGCCGCGCTTGTTGTCAACAGCAGAAGGGGCCATTTCTGAATTGACATGTTTGGTATTATTTCCGTGCTGCTGTTGTGTTAAGCGGGTTGTAGTTTTGTGTGAATTAAGTGGAAGCTGACTTCGTTTTGACTGGCGTTCATCTTCTCTAGCCTAAACATTGTCCTTGGACTGTGGGTGGCCATGATATGTACTTTGCTCTCTGCACTCTCCAACAGACGTTTCGGAGACATGGATTGGATCAGTGGTAGGCTCTGAAGGGATTGGATTCATGGGCATTGGCTGCAATTTGGCAGCCTAATTTGTCCATGAGTTGTGTTGTTGCCAGTCCTGAGATTGGGAACTCATTTCTGCAGTTTGGGCCGATTTGTCACCTTGCTTTTTGTCATGTTCATGGTTCCATGTGAAATTCCGTCCTCCAACTTGACAAAGAAACTGATGCAGGTTTGGGAATGCCCAGCTGTTTAGTAATTGGCTTGTCTTGCAGGATGGAGAAATTTCAAACATACATTCTTCCCGCAGGAGGCGCCCTTCCCTTTGCAAGTCGGTCGTTCCAAGGTGAAATGAGCCCACCAGTATGCCACTGACACACGCAAGCTTTGCCACTGCTGCACAGTATTTGTAGCAACATTTACTGCTGTTATCCATACTTCATGACGCATCAGCACTAGAGAATGCTGTGTCTTTATCCTACGCTGGCAGATCCTCAAATAAGTCTGCAATGTTGTGAGCAACTTTTGTAGTGGCGCCAGCCGCGCCCACCTGTGCTGCCCTACAATGGAAACGGGGGGCACACACACACCCCACCTCTGGATGTAGAGAACATAGCTGTGTTAGCTGTGTTGAAGCTACCGCAACAAATGCTCTGTGCGCATTTTGCAGGGAGCTGAAGAGGCGGCGTAGTGGCAGCGATTACAGCCTGCGCCCCAGAAAACGAACCACCAAGTACTTTGAGGGCAAAAACGCAGGCAGTAAGGACGAGAAGTATGACTACTTGGACGTTGAGGAGGGCGTGGATTGCGATGACTGTGAGATCCCAGATGTCGACATAGTGCCTGACACGGTGGGGCTCAATGCGATAAAGGTGAGCATACAATATAACTATTTGCTTGGTTTTCTGCAGCTTTTTAGGGTTGAACTTCTTGATTATGACTGTTTGATCCGTGGTCAGTGGCATGGACAACTTGTGGTAATTGTGGTAATGGCATATGCAAAAGGGTAGCAAAAATCTGCCACCCACATTTCAACCACAGGTGGGCAGGAATTTGTGGGGGAAATTCACTGTATATAGAATTGCCAACATGGAACATTGGTAATGGAGTGGATGTGGCTTGGCATTCTCTCACAAAATCAAGAGCACCCAATTGGTGCATCTTCTTTCAACCAGCACTGCAGCCGTCCATTGTTTTGTTCATGTTTTCGCTTGAATTCATGTGGTAGCGCAACAGCAAATGCTTTAGCTGTCGCTTTAGAGATATCGTTGACTCACAGCGCACTAGGCTAGTGAAGTTCTGGTGTTCTCCATCTTTCCTTCTGACTCTGTCTCATGCTGCTTCTCACTCGAACTGTTTTCCTTCCTTGCATTCCTGGCGCAGTCCATACCGAGCCTCCCTGGTGCAGAAACGGGCTCAAAGCACGTCAGCAAGATGCCCCTTCTGGGGAAAGGGAGTGGCTGCTCGTTGGATGTTGCACCCATGCAAGTGGACCCTTCCCTCAACTTTGATGACGTTGGGGGCATGGACGATTGCATCAGGCAGCTCAAGGAGATCGCGTTCCTGCCTCTCATTTATCCAGAACTGTTCCAGCAGTTCAACATCACGCCACCAAGGGGAATTCTGTTTCATGGTGCCCCTGGAACTGGAAAGACACTCATGGCCAAGGTGCTGGCTGCAGAGGCCTCCCGAGGGGGCAGGAAGGTAGGAAGGGAGGCACCCAAAACTATCTTATTCAGGGACAGAGTGGGAATGGAGAGTAAAACATGACAAGGTGAAACCAACATAAGCGAATGGGCAATGAATGAATGAATGAACATCCATAGGCAACGTGAAAATTCGACACAGTGGTCATGTCACGCGGCTCTGCTGAACTCAAAAAGTCAGACAGCGTCCCCTTGCTAGCGGCCTATACTGACCTCACAATAATCGGCAATGAATCCCAACCCCACAGCACCCAGGAACACAATGTGCATATGTCCACCGACAGCAATGCACTCAGGAGAGATCCTCATTTGAACAGGCAGTACACTGTGGGAGTAGACAATGCAGAAATGAATATGAAACAATGGAAACAATAGCATTATTTTGGGATTCACCACATCAGTATGCATACTACTCTTTGTGGAAGGACCCAGTTTAGCTGGAAATCGTTGTTTTGCATGCTTGATTATCGATTATGAGAAAATTTGAAAAGAAACTGCTTTGAACTTCTTTCTGTAAAGTTGCCAATATTGATAAAGCACACATAAGCACCTGAAGAGCTTGAACAATAGCACATGCCTTTACAGTGCCCTGTCCAAGTTGTCTTTGCCAGCCATGACATACAGAAGTCTTCTGCAGACTTTGGGGCTCTTGAAACCTGAGCACTTTGCTGATGTGCTCAACAGCTATTCTATTTCCAGAGCACTATGGGTGAAGCAGGGGGGGAGTTGAAGATAGACAAATAGGAAATCAGAAATTGAGAATGTGTGTTGTTCGCTGGATGTGCAGGTAACTTTCTTCATGCGCAAAGGTGCTGACGTCTTGACGAAGTGGGTTGGAGAGTCGGAGCGGGCATTGAGGGCTCTGTTTGAAGAGGCCAAGAAGTGCCAACCAGCCATCATTTTCTTCGATGAGATTGATGGTCTTGCACCGGTGCGCATTCCGGTTCATTTTTACATTGCACAGCTGTTTCACAAACTGCCTTATATTCAACAGCCTTGCAATTTGCTCACCACATTGGAAACGGTCATAGATTGCCTATAAAGATTAGGGCAAGTTATGTTATTATCAATTTCTGAGTGTGCCAAAGGTGAGCACAATTGTTATGGATATGATACAGTAGAGTGAAATGCATTGGACAAAATTACTCATTGCATTTGCCATGTTCAGACTGCACGCCTGCACAATGCACAATGCAGAATGCACAGTGTGTTTGCAGATGTCGATTCCTTCCATGCCATCATCTGTTTTCAATGAGATGTATAATTGACCCAGTATTGCCCATTGTGTCCTGGCGCTCAGCAAACTGCAATGGTATAACAGTTTCTCCCTGCACAGCACATCAGGAACCCCGCATCATGCCATGCATTCATCTTGATCGAAAATTGACCAAAGAAGTCAATGTGTGTATAGGCACGCAGTGGAAGGATGGACCATGTGCACAACTCCCTGGTGGCAACCCTTCTCGCCCTCATGGATGGTCTGGAGTCCCGAGGAGAAGTCATCGTGATCGGCGCCACTAACAGGCTGGATGCCATCGACGATGCCCTCAAGAGGCCTGGACGTTTTGACAGGATGTACAAGTTCAATCTGCCAGATGCCACAGCCAGGGAAAAGATATTGGTGATTAATACAAGGCGGTGGGAAACACCACCTGCGCCTGGCATCGTGAAAGAACTTGTGGAATTGACTACAGGGTACTGCGGAGCAGACCTAAAGGTAAGTCTACACTTGCTGGTCGACGCATATGTGACAGTAAGAGAAGAATTGGCAATCATAGAGGAAAACAAACACAATGGATGAGAATCATCTTAGACAATTGTCCTTTTGGCTCTTGGTGCTGCACTAACTTGCTAGTGTTTGAAGGAAATGGAGGCCGTGTATAGTTGCTGAATAAGAAATCCTGCTCAAAATTGCAAGGCAGTTGTAGCAACCACTGGACTTGATTTTGGTTGATTACGTCCAATATGCACAAAGGCAGAATACTGGCTTGCCAAAAATTCTGCCAAGCACTGCCTCCCCAATGTGCTATTACTGTACCCCTACGGTGTCCACATTACACTGCATATGATGCTTATCTGATTTCTGGCCTTGACTATGGTTGCAATCTTGGCTAATTGCTCATGTTCACCTCCATATTTGCTTTGTCGCAGTGGGGTGTTACCCATTGCCTCTATGCTTTCATGGTTGGAGCTTGATATTATGTATGTGCTATGTATTCCCAACCTACTATCTTCTTGACTCTTTGTTTGTCGACCTTGGTTCATTGGTCATGACAGTACAGGATGAAATGTTTCAATGCACTGACGTTTGGCAAGAAAATTGTTTACGACCGCAGTGTTTGAATAGATAAATCATTCATTCATTCTTGCCTTGCTACAGGCGGTTTGTACCGAGGCCTTTTTCGTTGCCGTGCGTCGTACTTTCCCTCAGGTGTATGAGACCAGACAGAAACTTTTGCTGGCTGACAAGATGGTTCAAGTCTCCAGGGAAGACTTCCTTGCAGCCATTAGCATAGTCGCGCCATCGGCCACCACAGCTTGTGCTAATTTTGTAAGGTGCAGTGCACACATTGGGACGACCTGGAATTGTCTTTCTGGCTGCATCTAACAGCACAACAGCCTAGCCACACTTCAAAAATGAACTACTGTTGTGGCAAAATTCAGCAAAGCGTTGTGCAGGGAAGTCAAGCCGATTAGATTGTGTTGGCCCGGGATGAGCTGCAGGGAACAAGTGGTTGCCGTAGTTTGCAAAGTGCTTGCACAAACTGGTTTGATGCTCTTGATGTGCCAGATGTCGACCGACACAGGCAGAGGATGCGATCTCCATGTGTCCAATAAATGTCAGGGATAAGAACTTTATTCCACACCATGTGCACGCAACAATAAGAACACCAACTTACATATCACATATGTGGCTCTGCAATGTACCAAATAGAACATTGTGAACAGGTCTTTAGCCTATCAGTTTGTGTCAAGCCAAGATATTGTGCATGGAAATTACTTGAATGCTGCACTATCCTTTCCACTGGTAGACTCTGTTTTTGGCTTGATCGTGGTTCATTTGGCCCAATTTCATTGACAGGCATTGCACCTGCACCAGGGCATTATCTGGCTGACAATTGTGCACACTCTGCAGCTCATGTATGAATGTGTTGGATCATTGCCTGGCATGAAAAGATGTGCACTGAGGATGCCATAGGTGAAAGGGGAACAAAGGTCCCCAACAGCAAGCCTGTGTGAGTGTGATCAGTAGCACACATCAAGTGTTAGACACAGATGTGCCGCAAGAATCTATGTGAGTTTCTGCGATGAGGATGCCAGGGGTAATCTGGAACAACAGCCTTATATGGACAAGCACTGAAGGATATTGCCCAACGTTGCCTATCAAGTGCAAGACTGTGTTTTGTCACATTTGGAGGAAGGAACCAACGTCAGCTTTAACACTAATCAGAAGCTGCACTGTCTGATACGATCTTACTGACTGCCAGGCCGATGAGCTCACTGCTGGCACCATGCCTGTCAAAGCACGTGCTCAACATCCTGCACAAAATTCAAGCCATCTTCCCAGCAGCAGGGCAGTGCCTCAGTAATGGCATCGCCACCCCAGCTGGCGCCTATGCTGTCGATGGGAAGGATATTGCCAGATCGGCATGCCTCAAGGCCCCAGCTTCGCTGCTGATTTGTGGCCGGATGGGATGCATGCAACATGTCGTGGGGTCTGCAGTGCTGCATCAGCTAGAACACCTGCCTGTGATGAGCCTGGGTATCACTGACCTTCTGACATCTGGGGCAACGTGAGTTCCATTGCCAATCTCCATGGACAAACCCTTAGATGTTTCCAGTTGCTTTCTCCCTCTCCACTGTGCACGATTGTCTATATCTTGCCTTGTGTGCACCGAAACTTGCAGGTAACACCAACAACTAGCGGGCATGTCCACCAAGCACTCTGTGAGCACATGATTGTGTGTGTCTTGAGCTGATTGCAAGTCCCGATGCTGCAAGGTACACTCGTCTTGTCCAAACTTGCCCCACAATCGGTCCCTTCTGCCTTGGCACCATACACACACTGCTGTTGCCTGCTCTGTGAACACCATGAAGGCGCAAGTGCTGCACCCAATTGGTGCTGTAATCTTTTGCTGAATCGCAGTCTCCTTTGTAGTTATTGGACACTGAAACCAAAACTAAGCTAATAAAGAAGATTCCACGTTCATCCAGGACTAAGGCGTTTCAGCAAGGTCTCAAAATATCTATTCAGTCAGTTAATCAATTAGTCAATGAAATAACTAGCGGAATGTTGCATACTAACAACTGTATTAAAAAGATCAATGCACTGACCTCATGCCTGCCATCTTGCCAGTATTCTGGAGGAGGCACTGCTGAACACGATCAAGGAGGCCTGTCGGTGTGCACCTGCCATCCTCTATTTGCCGGACTTCCACATCTGGTGCAGATCTGCTTCCCAGTCACTGAAGAGCATCCTGGAGGCGACGTGCAAGTTCCACCTGTCTGCCCCAGTTCTGGTGCTGGCTGTGGCAGAGGGCCCAGCTGCAAAGCTAAAGCCTTCATTCACCAGGTTTGGGTTTGTGTATGTCGGCTTTGATCAGCTCGTTCTGGAGTAAGAAGTGCTATGAAGTTTCAGTGTGATGCAGTGATTGCCCATCACTGAATTGCACATTTTGCTGTGTGTTGCTTCTGGTAACCTCTCCCTGTTGGCAGAAAACCACCAGACAAAAATCTCAGGACAGAATAACCTCCTTGCATTTCACAGATCAAGTCAGCCAGGCATACATCCCCATCCATGTTTTTGTAATGAACGTTGCTGATCGAAATTCCTGGAAAGATAGGACAAACTACTGCTTTTCTGCAAATCTGGCGATGGCTGGCATTGTCCACCACAGCACATTATTCCCAACATGTAAGTTTATGCCGTAAGACCATTAGTCCCAAGGTACCCATATTGGCCAGATACCATCCGCTTTGCCTGGATGTGCCTTTGTAGGGCTTGTCACCGTCCCTGCTGGCGACTGCACTTACACATGGTTCACTGGCGCAAAATGTATATTGTGTGCATGCTTGGTTCAAATTACACAATGTGTGTTTGCACATTGTATATTGTGTATTCTCACAGCCTCCTTACTCCACCCAGGTTCGTTGGAGAGGTCCCGCAGTATGTGGGAGCTTGCCAGCCCCAAGTGCACGAGGTGGGGTTGCCCAGTGAGTGCCAGCGTGAGGAGTTCTTTAAGGTAGGTACCAAAACTAGCAAGGCTGGATGAATTCCCCTCTAGTGGCGGTCGTTACACAGCAGTGCATTGCCCAAACAACTGCTTGCCAGCTGAATGACTTCAGATTTGTGCTGTATTTTCCAAGAAAGAGAAAACATGGCCTTCACGTTTTGCAGGAGTTGAAGACTACAATTGAACACAAACTGTTGTTGGCAAAGTGCTGCACTAGTGTCCTTTGAAAAGCCAACATCATTTCTGCATGCATTTGTAGACAACTTTAGATGATTGTGAGGGTTAAAAGCAAGAGATCGTTGGCCTTGCACCCACCTCAAGTATTTTGCAAACTCCAGTGGTGCGCACCTGAACACGCATGTCCTTCCATGTAACACCTATGCAAAAATCCCCCAATATGTTCTGCTGTGTTGCAGACCATCAACGTTGAGCTTTGTTATTTTTCCAGCATTTTTATGGTGCAGCCCATGAGCCACGCGCCCAAATAAGGATTGTTAGACTGGGTATCGTCATGGATTGCATTCAGTTGCCTGTGGCAGAATCATGCTTTGATAAGTTGTGCTAATGGCCAGAGCACTGGTATGCACCTGCAGGGAATGATGAGGACTTTGCCAACTACATTCATAAATTGTATTGCATTGATAAACAATTCTTGAATATGATGTAAGACAGTCTGGAATTAAAATCCCCATTGTTGAATTGAGATTCCTTGTCACCAATGGTATATTGTCCTTGAAGAGTAAATTAGTATCAGCATTGTCCAGATTGCTCACCCAGTGTGACAATAGTGGTGCTGCTGCTTCTAATGCTGGTTCTCAGTACTGTCATTTGGCCCTGTGTGGTTCAGAGCAGTGTCCTGGAGGCAGCCAAGCCCCCCAGATCATTGCCAGCCAAGGTGCCCACTCCCCACCCTGAGCTTCCAGTGGACACATTGGCACTGAAGCGTGATGCAGAAGTGGCAAAGAAAGAAGGGCAGAGGGCAGTTCGCGAAATGCGGATGTGCTTGAGAGAAGTCACAAACACCCTCATGACGGATGCCAGGTGATGTTCAACGCACAAACGTGGGGCCACAATTGCCAAAACAAAACAAACATTTAATGCAAAGATTGTGGCTGCACAATGGCCACACTGATTGTGCAGACTGTTGCTCTGTGGATCAATAGTCATATGCCTTTTTTTATCACCATACAACCACTGGGCAGTTTCCATATAAGTGCCGTTAAGAATGCTCTGCTGCAGTCTGTGCATCTGCATGTTGCATTCCTATCAGAACCAGTATACAGCTTCTCTCAAGAGCGCCTCATGTGGGATACTTGCTGCACTGTTCATGTGCAGCACATCTTGCTGAGTTGGGTGTTGTTTTAAGGCTGCATGCCTTGGGAGATAATGTCCTTGTGAGGGTCTGATGACAGCTGTTAATCGAACGTTGATTCAAATTTGTACTTATCCATAGAAGGATTGTGGGTACAAACTTGACTTTGCAGACAATAAGTTGATACTTCAGCTCTTGTTGAAGCTGTAAGCAAGTGCTTGCAGTCAGTGTGGGGCCCAACATCGCGACCTGTCTTCCCTTGCTCATGTTTCACCACCCCTGAGGATATGCTCTGTTGCCACAGAAGCCACATGCTTTTGTATGTTCTCACACTGCCTTGGTAGACTTCTGCATCAACTTTCACTGTTCGAACAAAAAAACTGGAATTGTAGAAACAGAATGTCACCATCGATTTGTCCAGGAGTAGGATGCCCAGTGTGTGACATGTTTCTCTTTCTTTCTGCCATGCATCTTTTGCAGTTGCGGGGGCAGCGCTGTCGCTTGCACCTGTGATGGTGCGTTTCAAAATGCATTTAACAAAGGTTTCAACATGCCTATTGTTATATATGCATAATTTGGAGCGGCGAGACAGAATGTGTCTGTGCTTTCAGTTACTGCACCTTCATAGAGCCCGACGAGCTGCTTGAAGACATGCAAGCCTGGGAAACCTCAGAGGTGCCACAGGGCTTCTACAGGCTCCTTGAGAATGTCAACAACAACAGGTACAGCAACCCCCAGGCTTACGTCAAGGACGTGGAAGGGCTTGTGCATCTGACGCTCCAGCGTGTCAAGGAGAAGCAAGGTGCAGTCCTGCTCCTGGCTCACTTCCCAAGCATCATGTATTTGTTTGATTTTGCAGTGCACAAGTCCTGTTGCAAGACTGTTGGTAGCAAGGAGAACCCTACCAGTTTGGGACTATGCCCCATGCTCCTGTACGGCAAAACAGGGCGGCATTGTTCTTGCAAATTGGCGCATTTCACCTTTAAAGGGGAAACATTGGCACTCAGACTTCAAGCATACAACAGAATTTTCCTGATGCAAGTTCTCTCCTTCAGGGCTCTCCGGCGCTGGGGGAGATTTTAAGCTCCAAGAGAGCTGGTTTGCATGATGTGCCTATGCAATAGATTGTTCTGTTCAATGCTATGTGTGGAGAATGTGGTGCAAGACTTGACCTTTTGTGTTGCTTAGCAATGTAGGGCCTACGGCTTGATTTGGAAGTTTTTTCAGGCGCGTCTGCCTAGACCCACCATGTCTTGTAATAACACAATTTTGACAGCCCCCCATTCCTTTTCATTATTCTGCTGATACTGTCATGTGGTGTCAGGCCATGCTGAGATGTTGAAGAGTAAGGATCTTGGCCAAAGGCTGAAGGATGCTGCTGCCCTGATGGTGGAGTCCCGGGTGAGCCCCTCCCTTATTTCAAAGTGCAACTCGCTCGTCCCAAAGCACACAACCCAGCTGGAGGATGGATACTGCAGGACTGGAGATAGTGCCCAAGGCGATGAAGCAGGTAACCGATTGCCTTGTTGATTCCAAACTATTCCATTTTGCTTCCAAAGTGTTCCATTTTGTTTCCAATTGTTGCAGTTTGATTCAGAAAACGTTACATCTTGGTGTCTCTCTTACAAGGGATGCCTCACTCCCCTTGTATGAAGTCCCTTTTCGTTTTGTGCTGCTCTCAGCTTCCTTCCGCATTTGCTTTTTTGGGTTGATGGAAGTGTGGGCTACATTCAAAAACAGAGACTGGGACGCAATGGTATAATACATGCACATTGCAGCACAAGGCATGAGCTGGGGAAAGATTCTGTGTTCGCTAATTCCAAAACACTATGGGCAACATATTTTGGAGTTAAGAAACAGCTTTGACAAATGCACTGGGTTTTATGTCGCTCAGAGCATCTTTATCGGTGGATGCTATTGTCCCGGCGGAGCTATTCGGCTATCCGAGTAGCACCGCACGTCAAAAAACCATCATTAATGGTTGGGGAACAATAGCACCCCAATAGCACCCCAGAATAGCACCGGTGCTATTCGCGCAGAACATTGTAGTGCTGCAGTGATGCTATTTGCCATAGGCATAGCACCCACCATTGTGGATGCGTGCAGGGGAGCAATAACACTGGTGCTATTCAGCAAATGCCGCCTTAGTAAGGTGGCACGGCAGCCAATGAGAAACGTTCCTGTATAGCCCCGCCGGTGCAATAGCACTGACAGATAAAGATGCTCTCACATTGATCCCAACTAAAAAATAAGCTAGTTGAATATCGTTTTCTTGGTCATTGTCGTAGTGCCTTCTAGTCACAATTCTTTTGATTGGTTGTGGTGTTTCCAGGGTTACAGGCATGTCTGCAAATTTGCTTGAATGGTCTTGTGGTGCCAAAGGACTCCAATCTGTTGAAAAACAAAACTTGGAGTAGGTTGCCGCCCTGAAGTTTCATGCCTGTGGTGTTAGCATTGTGTGGAGTTGTGGAGGACACAACACAAGAAGAGCCTGTACCTCACAATCGCATGAGCTCTCGGCTGGCAGGTGCAGCTGTAGACATGGACATCGTGCACCAGGACCCTGAGGTGGCAATGAGGAAACTCAGGTACACATACATTCCAAGAACTGGAAACAGGCACTTTAGGTTTTTCTTTTCTTTTTCCTTTTTCTTTTCTTTTTTCTGCTCTTCTATGTTTCTCTTCATTCTTGTACACTCAGCAAGTGCAGTACGTACATTGCTTATGTGGCATGAAATCAAATTCCATGTATTGCAATTGTCAGAGTGGCCGCAGCAAAGGCCTTGCACCTTGTAGGCAATGACAGGCAAAAAAAACTATGTATTCTTTGCACTCAATGTCTCGATGTTAATTCATCCTCTAGCGAAAGGAGGAAAGTCAACAAGGCAGTGCCTTGTGTTTCCATGGCCCGGAATGGGTCACAATTTTAAACAAATTGCTAAGCTATATTATTATCTCATTCAATGTCACAGAAATGTAGAACAAACAGTGCATTGGCCACCTTCCTTGCCACAGAATATTTCAAAGATTCTTTCCCAGGCTGTGAAATGCTGTTGATGTCCCCTTCTCTTACATAGCAGCATGCAGCTCTGAGCAGCGGCAATAACAATCTGCCACACATCATCTTTGGTTGTGCACGTTTGTGATGTTGTTGAGCCCCTGCTCAGCTTGGTCTAGTGCTTTTACAATTGAAGCTGAATTCCACAAGGTTGGAAATGTGCTCTTATCATGGCATATGCGCAAGCTCTTGTGCTCATTTGGCTCTGTGTGCTAAAAGAGACTGGCACATGATTTGGTATATCTGCTGCTCAATGCATATCAGTTGCAAGTCAGTCTGGAGGCCTTGTGCATTGGCAGGAACTTGGCTCGGGACAAGGCTCAAGACGATCCACCGTTGGGGAGGGCTTACAATGGCAAAGCGTTCCATGTTCACCGCCCTTCTGACAGGCACAGAGAACCGACATTGCTGGAACCATTGATACAAAGTCGCAGCCGGCACGGTGAGAATGAGACGTCAGATGTGTCCCCAGGTGCGTGGGAACGAAATTCGAGCTCCACACGCACATTTTGAATTGTTGCCATTGACCTGTATACCTGGTAATCAGTACCCTTAGGTAGGCTACAGTATGTTTGTCCAACACAACATTTAATGATGCTGTTGTGGTATCTTCTTCGGCCTGACATTTGGTTCTGATCCTCTACAAAAGCATTTCATTTCCTGGGTAGCCCGCTCCCCAAGGCAGTGGAAGCATAAATGCAGATCCTGCAATATGAAAATTGCATGATTGGCCACAATCAAAGTCAGACACCAGCTGTGGAAGCGATTCAACTGCTGTGTAGTCGATAATGCCTACCTCGTTGTTTTTCCCAGCATTCTCAACATTGCTGCCCCTCCTGTTATAGAAGATGCTATCCCTGATTTGTTGTCCATTCCCAACCCCAGCAACATCGCATAGTCTCGACTCCACGCCACCTAGTAAGCGCCAGCCCATTCTTAACCACCTACCTGCTGCAGGGGACGTGGCCCAGCAGCTTGCCCGAGCCAGCGAGGGGCTCTCACTGGACCAGATGCTGCTACTGCACTCGAGAATAGCCCAGAAGGTGGCTTCCTGCCAGAGAACAGCAGATCGAGGTGCTGTGCTGCACGACATCTTGGAGGAGGGCCTAAAGTTCACACACATGGGCGGCGACTGGATGTGCCTGGATGCCCATTGACAGCCGCACACACTAGGTGGAGAAACCTTGAGATCTTTGTGAACATGGGGCAGCAAAACACAAGCTGGGACACGCACAAGCTGGTTGGCAGCATCGGACAGATAGTGTAAACTGTTGTTGTGTTTTGTTTGCTTATGGTTTCAGACTGCATCGGGATGAGGGCCGACATAAGGGGCAACAACAGCACACACAAAAGGATATGGCCCTGAAGCTCATATATTAACAGGTTAGCGATGTTGCTAACTGGTAGAATTATGTGCTAGAAGGACAAGACAACTCCATATAATTGTTTTCTGAATTGGAATGTGCAATTTCTTAATTGTGGTATTTCTCCTATATCGTGTACCTGCACCGTTGTCTGCATCTTTGACCTAAGCTGCCAAATCCTCTGCCAATATACTTGTTGCCACAATTGGCGTGAATTCAAAGCATTGAATGACCTTCCTGTGTATTAGCCCTTGTGCATTAACAGATTCTGACTCCCGTAGGGCCATACAAAACAGGACACCTGTAACCTTCCACCATGGTGTTTGCAACACATCTGTGTGGGCGTTCTACACCCCTATAGTTCTCCAAGAAGACATGGTGTAGTATGTGCAACACTTCTGCAATTTTACATTTCAGTGTTACGATTCTTGCTCCGTATTTTTCCGACAGACAGTTATTTTGTGGGGCTGTGCATGGTCACAGCCGGAATGGGGACTTTGCTCTGTTCACATGGCCTCAAATGCCAGTTTTCCACCACAGCGACTCACACTTCTATGACCAGTGGATGCCAGGAGCACTCCAGAGACCCTCACATTGCCACCGGGGCTGCTCCACATTTTATGGTACTGTTACACTTTTGTTATTGCTCCACGTATAAAGGCCAAACGTTATATTACAATGCAGAAGGGTTGAAATGTACTACTATGCTGGTAGTGCAACACCACAGCAAAGGTACCACGCCCAGCCAAATGGGAGCTGAAGCATAATTAATGTCACAATGTCTGACCACATGTGCAGCAAGCCGATCAAAGGAATGGATGAGGGACACAAGAGCGTTTGTGGATGTGTATATTCGTCATCACCCACAAGGTGCAGGGGAAACCCCTTTGTCTCCTCGAAGGCAATCAAACGGAAAACGGCCATGTGGGAGCTGGGCTCAAATGCCTTCTTCCCTGGGCACCTCAGCTACATCTTGCAGTCGATGTCGCCAGTACTCAAGCACTATTGGACCTGCTCATCGCGACAATGCACAACTCTTGCTGCTGCACAATGAATGCTCTGACAACGCGCCTCCATTGGCTGCCAAACGTGCATCGCCGTCCACAATCGTTCGTTTCTCCCGAATTTATGTCTTTCGAACTGGCCATATGTGCTTCTTTCTGTATACCGTCCTCAGCACAACCGCGATGCTCTGGGGCCAAAATTTTGGCAAGGAGCACTGCGTCAAACTCTCAACCTTCAAAACCATGGTTCAAGCATTTCCAAGGCTAAACAGAAGCACGTTGGGGCCTCCTGTTGGCTTGCATCGATTCGAGGGCAGTCGCGAAATTCTTAGCACCACATTTCTGGACCCCATTCCCCCACAGCATCAGCATGATATAGTACCCGAGAAAACCGTAGCGAATCCACCAAACTTTTCCTGGCGACCGTCCAAAGGTGTGAGCACTCCTGTCAGGCGTGTTTGGGCGTCCATCAGACTTCCACATACCGCAGATTCATCAGCACCTTCACAATGCATCAATTGTCCCCGCGTTCCTTTGGGCACCAGTGTCCACCAAGCACAGCAGGCCCATTTTTGCGAAGTGCTTCTGGTCGCCACTTCGGCTGCCGATCTCCACCTGTACCTGACCTCAGAACCTGCCCCAGAACCTTCTCCAAAGTGGGCGAATTACTAGCAATTGACCACTAAAGCTGATGTGTAATCCGGTGATTGAAATAAAATGATGGCATCTGAGAACTCTATTTCAGGGACGCCATCAGCACTGTAGTTGAATGGCTGTCACTGTTTCTTGATGTTTCACCTGCAACTTTCCAGTTCACAAGACTGGAGGTCGGTGGCTGAACACCGATGTGCAGTGAAATTCAATGAGACAATTGAATAAAGAAATGGGAGCCACATTAAAGAGATGAAAGTCTGACACACCAAGACAGCCGCAGCTGCCATGTTGTGCAAGCAGCTGGTCACGTGCTGGCTGACTGATGCACTCGTCGACCTGAGTTGGAGCTGTGGGTCGGTGCCATGGGTCGATGCTGTGGGTTGTGCTGTGTGGCAGCGTGTTGTGCGTGTGTGACTTTTGAGTTCAGTCCGCCGCTCTGAGTGTGAGTTCTGGTGGGCGAGAAAGTGGCGTACTCTAGTTTCTAAAGAGAGCCCGAGTCTTGCTTGTGGCTTCTCTTGGTTTGGTTGCAAGACAAGTCGAGTCTTGGCTGCTTGTCCGACCAAGCACGGCGAGTGCTTTTGAGCACCGCGTGCACCAGGGTTGCCACAGAGGTCGAGCCAAAAGGGTTTGATTCGTGCTGCGTTGTGGCCCATCGCTGCGCGCATTCCGTTGCGATGAATGCGACGAGCGGGATCTCGAACAGGGATGGCTGAGGAACTTTGACACAAAACAGGAGAGCTCCCACACCTATATTTGACCAGGCCTCAATGTAGAGGCAGTTGCAGGGCGCGTACTGGAATGCGCGGGGACAAACAATGGACATGTGTACTTGGGGGCTGGGTGGCGACATAGTAGCCCGTGCTTGGCTGACATGGTGTAAATGGAAATCTCAGCTCAGCCTGTACTTCAACGCAGGAGCGGCCCCAAGAACCCTCACAAAAACAAAGGGTCTCCCACCGTACCCCTTCGGGGTCTTAGGCCCCACCTTCGCACCGGCCCCCGTCTCCACGACCCCTGCCCAAACTACTGCGCCCCGCAGCACGTGCGCACGTGCACACGGGCCTCGTAGACTGCGCCTTCACCGCGGTCCAGCACATGCCAGCTACGCAGACCCCCTTGACGTGAACGTACTCAACGCCAAAGAGTCCACTTTGCGCCCAAGGCCCGACAGCCCCCCACCCCACCCCCCACCCCCCTCCCTCGTCCCAGCCGCGCCGGAACAACCGCGTTCCGGCAAAGGCACCGATCGGCCGCACTTTAGAATTTGTTGGCGGGTTTTTGCGGATCGAGGCATGGGGCCCATGGCGGGGGGCGCCTCGCTGTGGGCCACCTTTCGGGCCAAGGCCTTCACGGTGCAGCGCCTGGAGGCGCACCTGGCGCGCAGCTGCGTGGACAAGGGGCTGAGGCGGGTGCTGGGGGCCTTCGACCTGGTTATGCTGGGCGTGGGGGGAATCATCGGCGCCGGCGTGTTCGTGCTCACCGGCGAGGCCGCGCACACATACGCGGGGTGAGTGAAGACGGGCGCTGGCCGCGGGCTTGGCAAAAATGGGCGGACGCGTTTTTCTTTCTTGTCGTTTATGGCCGTGCCGCGTTTCGAGGAGGGACGGAATCTGTGGGAGATTGTGGGCGGATCGGGGCGCGTTTGGGAGCGGGATTGGGTTTGATGATGATCGTGGGAAGGGGTGGGTGATTTGGGCCCGGACCGTGGGCAGGCTAGGATCCGCGGTGCGTGTGCCGCGCCGTGTTCAGAAGCGGATTTAGTTGCGGGGGCGTTGCCGAATTGGGCGGGGAATGGGGATTTGGCTTGGGCGGCTGCGCGTTGTTGATGGCGCTGGGCTGGTTGAATTCTGGGGGCTGGGCATCGATGCGATGCGGGAGGTCCAGGCGGTGGGGTGCGCGCACGTTTTGGCCGCGGCCCGAACGCCGGGTTGTGTTGAAATTGTTTGGCGCGGTGGGATGCCCAGACTGCGCTTGGGATGTTGTGCGTCCTCCATGGTGCATCTTGTTCCATGGGTGGGATCAGTTGACGATTTGAGTCGCTGTGGATTGTGGCGAGCCTGGACCATGCCATGATGCGTTGCGAGGGCGGAGATGTGTGCCAGTGTGGATGTGCGACTTTGCCCCGGAATGTGTCTGGAATCTTTGCCGGAAGGCAAACTGTGGCGATGGCCACGGCTAGGGCTTCGCCACCTGGACGTTCCCGATGGTGGAGAGGAATGGGCCCCGGCACAGATTGGCGCCGCCCAACCGAGTCGATGCACGAAAGAGCTGGTAGAAAGAGTGGCTGCAGCCCCACACAGGCTGTGGTGGTTGTCGCCGCCGAATGCCATGCGCTGGGACACATTGCCGGCATTGCCGGAATGCTCGTGGCGTCAATGCTGGCCGGGGTCCCACCACTGCGTCGAAGGGGCTTTGCTTCCCTTGCGGTCATTGACAGACGATTGACTTGTTGATCGTCTAGGCATCTGACGACTTCGTCCTAGTGATCTTTCGATTGATGAGAATTCCCTTGCATACAGTTTGTTAACGGCAATGACAAAACAAGACCCTGAGACTGCCCAAATTTGATGCTCCGTCGTCGTCGTCCTGTCACGTCGTGGTTGCGACGGCTTGTTGCTCAAGCTGCCAGGAAGAGTGTGAAAGAGACTGGAGCTGTGGCAGTAACCGGGAACTTGTGCCTCGCAACAATAAAGTGCGGTGCTGTTGCTATGGGCAAGAGAGCACAATCCCAGGCCAGAACTGGATGGATGTATCGCTGAACATTCACTGCTGAACACTCACTGAAGTAGCGTCCCATTGCATGGCAACCTCCGCAGTGCTCAAATGCCCTTCCTGCAAGAAAGTGCGATGACACAAAGGGCTTTATTCTAAGAATGTGCCATGTGTCCAGAAGAATCCACCAGAGCTCTCCCTCTCGATTGTCTGACAAGTGTGTTTGAACCCCTGCCAGGCCAGCTGTGATAATCTCGTATTTCATTGCTGCACTGGCGGCCGTGTTCTCGGCTTTATGCTACGCGGAGTTCGCTGTCGACCTCCCAGTGGCTGGGAGTGCCTACAACTTCATATCACTTGCCTTCGGCGAGTTCTTTGCATGGTTGGTTACGTCTCTGGATGCCTCACCCCTTCACTGTTGATCCTTCCCTGTTGCAACAAATCTTCTATGGATTGCCCTGGTGTGAACTATTCCTTGCGTTTTATAAGAAGAAACAGACAGTTGAGTGATGCAGAGCATCAGTGACACACCTGTGCATCAAGCAAAGGAATTACTGCATGTGGGACACATCTGTCCAACTTGTCCTTCGAAGGCAGACTTTTGGGAGGAATTGAAAACAGGCATTTCCAGCCCCTCAGCCTGTATGAGTCCCAGGACCAGAAAAGAATGCCAGCAGTGACAGATTAGCCTACATCGTCTCACAAGTGCCTGTGTGTGGCCTGCCAACATCCATGAATGCAATCTATGCAGAGTTTGGCCCATCGAAGTCTCGGTGGAGGATCAGCCTACAGTGCTGGCATGAGCACATCTGGATATGGAAGCACTTCCACTGAGAAAATCGGATGTCCATGTTATGGAACATAGGTAGCTTGCTGTCAGCCTTCATTTTTGCGTGCCTAGTTTTTGTGGCAGCTGGAATGAACGTGGGGTCTGGCAGTTGCATAAGGGCATCTGGACATCACTTTGCAGATGCCAGCACAGAAGCCCTCCATGCCTCTCCAGTGGCCACGGCACCCTCTGTCAACATAGGCACATTGAATCAGTCGAATTTTCAGTGGAATCCTGTCAATGAGGTCCCAGCCCTGTTTGAACCCAAGTCTTGCACTTGACTTTTGGCTGCCCATTCTGCAGGGTGGCTGCCATGAACCTGTTCCTGGAGTATGCCCTCATATCCAGCACTGTCGCCAAGGGCTTCACTGGCTACTTCGCCACACTGTTTGGCTGGCCCAGCGAGGTCCTTGTCCACACCGTGGAAGGCACCCACGGCCTGATCATCATCGACGTCGTGGCATTTTGCCTGACCCTGATACTGGCCATCATCCTGGCACTGGGCATCAAGGAGTCCACAACTTTCAACAACATTGTCACGACAGTCAACCTTGCATCCATCGTGTTCGTGCTGGGCATGGCAGCGCCCTACTTCAAGACTGATAATCTGGTGCCGTTCGTGCCACATAACATGGGAGTTCGAGGCATATTTCGGTATGTTTTTGGGTGGGAATATATATGAGTGAGTGAATGAATAAATACTAAATACTAGCAGTAATGAATAAACAAGAAATGCAACAGTGAACGAATAAACGAACAACAAGTGAACAGTGCACGGTTGTGATTTTGCATTGTTTTAAGTACAGAGTTTTGTACAAGTCCTGAACTGCTCAATGTTGCAGAGCTATCTGTCGGTGCAAGCTTCATTACAGGTTCACTTTGTGGAGACTTTTCCGTACTTGTGTTTCTCCTGTTGTTGTTTTCTGAACAAATAAAAGGTCGTGTATTAGTTGTGAGGCAGGCAGTCTTTTGAGGCCTGCCAAAGCATTTGGTAAAGGTCCTCAGGAAACTTGCACAACTGTTGGACCTGAGTATTCAGGACTGGACCTTCCATGGGAGCTTCTGTGCAGGGCATCCTTTGTGAGTCGGTGTCTCCCTGCTTATTTTGGCGAGCTGGCATCTTCTCCAAGGCGCATGTGCACAAAATCATATCAGACTTTGCCCTGGTGTGATTTCGCTCGTGTGCCCCAACCCATTGCATTTGAGGCACAATCAATGCCCGGGCACTCTTTCGGCATTCCTTTGGTGACTGTGTATTGTCAAATTTGTTCTACCAACTCCGCCCTAATCGATCTAGACCACTACGGGAGCAGGCTTGAGGGGCACTCGGTGTTCACAAGATGCTCATGTTCGCAAGTTTGCAGTTGATGCTATGTAGGTCAGTGCACTATGTACATGTCTGTACCATACGGATAAGTGAACTATATGGGGGAATACTGTTCTTATATTCCTGTCATTGTGCAAGCATTTTACCACTAACTGACTGTGTTTTCTTTTTCTGCAATGCTTTTCAGCGCCGCATCCATCGTCTTCTTTAGCTACATTGGCTTCGATGGCGTGTGCACAGCTGCCGAAGAGGCCAAAAATCCAACTAGGGACCTACCTAAGGGCATAGTGTGGTCTGTCTTCATATCAGCAGGCCTGTACATCCTTATGGCCCTTGGGATCACAGGGATGAAAAAGTGAGCGTCCATCACAGATGTGCAAACATTCAAGGGGAGCACCGATCGCGCGCTTCTTTTGTTTTCATTTTGGTTTCTTATTTCATTGCATGTGTCACAAAGTGTTCAGCCCGTTTGCTTTTTATTTCAGTGCTGCAAAGATTGGTGTTATTTCAATATGCACTTTGCTGCTCATTCGCTTTGTGCCCTGAGGTGACAGTTGCATGGCTATAAAATGTAACACTGCATGGACTTGCTGTTTTTTATTATGACAGTGTGATAGTTCACAATTCATTGAACTATCTTTTCAATATTGTCTTTGTTGCAGTCTTCAATGTGGTTTTGGCCACACCTAAGGGATGACGCACTGAGTGGTTCACCACTGGTGGTAGTTAATGCCTTCCTGTGTAGACACACTTAGATTTCTGCCTCCAGACTATCACAAACTCAAAAAGGCATCACCACGGCATTTCACATTCAGCAAAAGGCGCCTGCTTGAAAAGTGCAGGCATTGCTTCGCTTTGTTGATTGTGCTGAGTTTCAAAACTCAAACTGCAAGTCGCAGCTTTGGGTGTTGCTGATGTCGAATTCTGTGTGCGTACAAGTTTTTGGATGTTAACAAGCAATGTCCTTGTACCATTCCTGCGATGCCAGTCTTTGCTGATGCCATATCGCTGATTTGAGGTGTCATAAATTGTGACACGCTCATATTGATACCATTATTTGACAGCTTGAATGCTGCGTCAGGTACCCATTGATTGATATCGACGCTCCATTCTCAGTGGCCTTCAATGGTGTGGGCCTGAAATGGGCTGGCAGCATCGTGTCTGCTGGCGCCCTCATGGGGATCATCACATCCCTATTTCTGACCATGCTTGCGATGACCAGAATCTTCATGGTTTTAGGGCATGAGAAGATGCTTCCATCTTGGATTGTGAGTACAAGCGATAACGTGCTCGGCAGCAGCATTCTGGCAGTGCTTTCCTGTTCCTTTGCTCACTACCGAATGACATTCACATCTGCACCCATCAATCTTATAAAAATATGATAAGAAGTTCCAGCCATTCAGTAATGGCGATATGCCTGCGATGCAGTGGTACATGTCTTCGAAGTCGCTGCTTGTAAGAGTGCTATTGTGGAAAATTTGCATGTGGCAGATGCAGCAGTGAAGTTGACACAGCGCTAAAACTGAAGTGTGCCATTCATTTTCACTCAGGAGCAAACAATATAGGGGTGTAGGCCCTCTACATCAGCTTGAAAGTGCAAGGGCTGTTATGGGATGACAATTGTCGCATATCTGTTCATTGCAATGTAAGCTGCCCAAGGAACATGGGGAGAAAAGGCAACAAAGCTGAACTGAAAACAATGCTGGGTGAAGAAATGCCTTCGCAGCCACTGCACTCTCATTGCAATATCGGTGTGTCACCTTCCCATTTGGTGCCTTTTTTGTATTTGACTGCTTTGTTGTCGCGCCTTCATGCAGGCCAAGGTCAATGCTAGACTCAGGACACCAGTCAATGCCACCATCGTCACAGCAACCGTTTCTGGTGTTCCAGCCCTGCTCCTCAACATCGACTTTCTTGCCAGCATGGTGTCCATGGGCACTCTTTGTGTGCTCGCAATGGTCTGTTGTGGCTCCCTGTGGCGCCAATACTTTCAGCCAGGCTGCGACATTCCTGTTGCGCCCATTCTCACCAGACTACTCCTCTTGGTGGTGACTGCGGCACTTGAGGGCGTGGCGTTGGAGCTCAAATGGCCCATCGCCGTCTGGGCTGCAGCCATAGGTGGGGGTCAGTTGCTTGGTAGTATGTGTTCAACTGTTTCAGTCCGCTGCCTTGTGCCCGGCACGACCTGTCAACATGTGTGTGGCCATAGCCATGCTGTATTGCAAATGATTTGAGCACATTTGTAAGCACCGGGATTGCGTCCCAGAGGTTATGTGATATCCATCCAGAAACCAGAAATGCGAGCTATACACAGGTAGCTATAGCCTCACGTTAAGGTGGATCCACAGTGCTTTTTGCATCATCATGAACCACACTCCAAAAGGATACCCAATCAATGCCACAGATTGGCAAACTCAGTTGCAACCCCTGCATGTGCTTCAGGCGCTTGGCTGTTGACAGCCCTGTCTTTCTACCTCCTCCCTGTCGCCTACACCTCGCCCAACTTCAGCATGCCCTTCAAGCCGATCACCCCTGCCCTGGGGGTGCTCCTCACAGTCCACCTGATGAGCTCCCTGGGCTGGCTCTCCTACGTGCTCTTCGCGATGTGGCAGGCCATCGGGGTGGTGGTGTACATTGGCTACTGCATGCACAGGACGCCCACACCTTCGCAAGAAAGGGAGCCTCTGTTGGAGGCGGGCCCCACAGGGTCGTCCGAAGGGGGTACCGACCCAAATGATGCTCCCAGTGGCGACGAGGCCCTGTGAGAGTGAGAGCAGCTTGTGGCAGGGAGCCTTGTGGGCTTGTGGGCCAGGGTGGAGAGGTAGGTGTGATATGATCTGTTGGTTCCGTGCAAGTGCGCTTTCAGAGTCTAGGTCGGGGTGGTGTGTTGTGGTAGTTGAGTGGGTCTGATTTGTTAGTAGTACATCAGTTGCGCTTTCGGAAGTGCTGTGCCACTGCAAGCTGTGTCGCTGCCTGTTGTGCTTGTAGTGAGCATGCCCAGAGCAAAAGCAATTGGTGTTTCAAATGGAGTCATGGAAGAAGCTGAATGCGATGGGGTCGAAGGCGTGTTGCGTCAAGACCTGTCCAGTGATCACTTTGAGATTGGGGCTAGTGTTAGAGCGCTCAGCGTTGTTGTTGGGATAGCCTGGAAGAGCTGCAGCTGTTGTGATGGTTGAAGGGTGAAGTGGAAGTTGGTAGATTTGTTCATTTCGTTTGGAACTGTTGTGTAGGAGGCCAGTGAAGTGCTGTGCCTGGGCCGTCCTGTAGAGGGAAACAGCCTTGCCCCTGTCGCTGTGTCTGTGGTGCATTGTTGAGAGGGCGCCATGTCATGTTGCAGCGCATCTGTTGCAGAATGGAACGAGCCTTTGATAGGGAATGACCCTGCGATTGGTTGTGTTCATGAGTGTGCATACGTTAGTGGGCTGTACATTATTGCGCATATAGAGGGTCTCCTAGGGTGGAATGAATGACCTGGTTCTGCAGCTAACAGATGGGGTCAATCAGATCGGTTAGAAGCAGGTTAGATCTGGCACAATCTGGCTGGCTGTGTGAGGCTAGTGTAGTACTTTAGGTGGATTTTAGTGCAATGAATGGTAGCTGTTGGGCAATAGTGTTTCCGGCCGCATGGCATGGAAAAGGGCAAGCTCTTGACAGCATCGTTTGCCTTGGCTCTTCTCAACGCCAAGGTGTTGCGTATTTCTTCCCATTGTCTTATACTGCTTTCCAGCATGAACGAATGCCTTTGAATTCTGTTCATGGTGCCGTGGTGCCTGTGTGTGCAACCTGGGTGGGTGTGCGCTTGTTGAAACCCGTGTGGACAACCGATCCGCGCATTATTTCAATATTTCATTGCAGCCAATGGGTAAAGAATGTGTTGTGAGAAAGGGGTAGAGGTTCCGGAATGGGGCTGCCTGATTTGGGAATACCCCACCCTGGAATGCCATCCCCGCACAAGCGATGGCTGGAGTGGGAAAGTGAACCTCCCGGCAGCCACAAGACCCAATTCCAGCTTCGTATCATCAGTGATAATCACGCTTTTCGAATTGCTATCCATTTTGTGGCGTGCGGAATCTCCTGGAGAGGCTGTCGATGGCGTGCTTACTCGCAGTGCTCAACGTTGCAAATTTGTCGTGCGCCAGTTGGTTTCCGCTCTACTCTCGTTTTCTGTACTTAACAAATCTGTCAAAGGAATCTACCAATCAATCACAAAAGTATCTGCAAGTCCCTTTCCACGAAACTCAAAACTTCCTTGGTACCCTTGTCACAACTCTGGCCATCAGTGGGCGATTTCTTGCCAAACAGCAAGCACCACCACCTGATGATCAGTGCAACATCTGTCACCGGAACACGATCAGAACAAACCCATTTGCCCGACGTTGACCATCAACTTCATCAATATTGATGCAGTCAGTGCAACAGCCGATTTTGGCTTCCCCCGAAGCCACACCCCCGGAAGTTTTCGAGCACTCCCCACCCTTGCGCCCAGCGGCGCCCTCTTCTGTGCGGCGGGCCGGTCTCGCGTGGGCGCCATGGACTGGATTCGGGACACCTTCAACACCCTGAGGGCCATGAACCCTCGGGAGTACATCACCCAGGGCATGAGCCTCGGTGGGCCACGGCGCGCCCGCAGCGCAGAGTTCTCTTGAGCTTGCTTCTTCCAGATCAATGCAAAGAGAGTGGAAGGCGGCGTGGAATTGCATTTGTCGTGGCGGGCTGGATTTTGTGATCCTGTCTTGCTTGCGGGTTGGCAGCGGGTGGCGTTTGACGTGACGGGACACGCTTTGCCTGCGTTGCTCTCTTTGTTGCGCGGACGAGTGGGGTGTGGGGGCTCACAAGTTGGCGTTTGATGATCCACGTGGGTAGCTAAAAATATCAGTTCAACTCGGCGTTTGGGCTTCAGTGTTGATCGAGAAGACGTGGCGCTGGTGTACCAAGGGGCAGCCATCAGAGCACACATCTTTGGGGTCGCTGGTATCCGACTGGAAAGGCAGAGAAAAAGATGATCGCCGTCCCAGAGCAAGGTTTTGCTCACCTCTGTCGCTTGTGAGTGATCGTCCTCTCAACACTGAGGAGACGTGTTAGAACTTGGCGCCCCTTTCTGTGCAAGGTTTCCGCGATACTCCACCCCACACCAGGAGATGAAGTCCCCTGCTTCTAACATCTTGTCAGTATGCTTTGCCACCAGGCTTGATCGTGACTTCGGCCCTGATGATCTGGAAAACACTCATGCTTGTCACTGGCAGCGAGTCTCCAGTGGTGGTCGTGCTGAGCGGCAGCATGGAACCGGCATTCTACCGTGGGGACATCCTTTTTCTGAACCTCGGCAAGGAGCCCATCCGCACGGGCGAGGTGGTGGTCTTCAACGTGGACGGCCGGGACATACCAATTGTGCACAGGGTGATAAAAGTGCACGAGCGGGCATCCCAAAACCACATCGACATGTTGACAAAGGTGCTGCAACATTTGCAGATGTGTGAATAGAACTGGATCGAGTGTGACAGAGCAATATGTGGAGGAAGGAGCAATGAAACAGTGCTGACTGTATGCTGTTTCTAGTTGTGATGGGTCAGTGGAGGCATGGGTCAATTTGCGCATAACGTTGCACTCATGCACAGCAGAATGCAGCCTGACAAAGCAGCTACCCTGAAACTTGACCTATTTTTGTCCAAAGGGGTGATCTCCACATATCTGTATGGCAGCTCTCTCTGTGGAGTGCCTTTGTTTCTCAGGGCAAGAACAGTGCCCTTGCGCTTTAAAGGCCATAACAACACGTAGGTACAGAGAAATGCTGTGTGGATTGGATATTGTTTCCGAGAACACCAACCGATTTGCCAGTTTGGTGGATGTGCTTGCTTTGTCATGGTTTTAGCAAGTGTAGGTGCTTGAATCAACCAACAGTGCAAGAAGTTTTGTGTATTTGTTCTCCATTTGTATGGCCCCTCGCTTCATGAGGTCTTCGTAACTGGCCAGACGTGCTAGTATCCTTTGGTTCATTGCCAAGACATGACAACTACATCATTTAGCAACCAAGCTCTACTCGGCCTTGTGTCTGGGTGCATTTTATGGTTGATTACACTCAACTGACATTTTCCACATCCTGCAAAGAGCAGCACAAAGGGCATTTGTTGCATGATTGACCTGTCAGTGCATCACACAGAAACATAGATGTTACAAGGACTCTTTCCCCATCATCATCTCTCCAAGTGTCGGGGCCCTGTTTAGCCACAATTTGACAAATAGAAAAAACTAAATTCACTCGCAGGCACATTCACACGTTGTCGTCAAAGGCAGTATCAAGTTGCCCGAGGATGAGGACCGTAATCGAGATTGCTGGGCCTCATATTGGTGTGGGTGCAGAGATGCGTGTTCATGCTCTTGATACAAGAAATTGGATGTCCTTTGCTGCAGGGTTGCTGATGGCATTGTGTGTGTTCCGTTGTCCGTGCATCCAGGGTGACAACAACTATGGACACGATCGTGTGCTGTACATGCCGGGACAAGACTGGCTGAATATGGAGCACATCATGGGGAGGGCATGCGGGTGGGTTGGGAGGGTTTCACGATGACTAATCCAGCAACTGCATGGACAGGATAACTATTGCCATAGCTGTCCACAACAGGCCTCTTGCTCAACTGGGCTTGATCAAACTGAATCGCTGCACATACTGAATGTGCTGATGGTAATGTACTGTATGTCAGCGGATGGTGTATGGCAACTTGACCACTGACTGGGAATGCAATGGAATGGAATGCATGCGACGAGTATGCACTGTGGTGTTGTGCATCTTGCAGCTCATGTGCTGTGTTCCAAGAAATCGTTGGTGTTCAGGGCATATGTTGTGCCCCAGTTGATCCAGCAATGAGGTTAACTTACGATGCTGTACTTACTCGGAGCTGTTGACAATCTGCTCATCTTAGGTGCATTTGCCTAAACAGCTGACAATAGGGGCACTTGGCATGCCTCAGTGCAGCATGTCCCAAAGTATTTCAGTTGTAAGCCGATCCACAGCAGGAGTTGAGTTGCCTGTGCTTCGGGACTTGGGTTGTCTAGGAGCGAGTGCTGTGACTGGCTCTAATTTCATGAGCCACTGCCCACTTGAGTTGGTAAACTGATCATCATTAAATCGTCAACACCGTTAATAACCCACAGATGTGCGAATGAACGTGATGTAGTATTCTGGAGGAGAAAAAGATCACAGAAGTGGCCATTTTCTGACAGGCTTGTTTTCTGTCCTGCCAATGCAGGTATGTCCCATATGTTGGAATGGTGACCATCATCATGAACGACTACCCCTTCGTGAAGTACCTCCTAATTGGTGTGCTGGGGCTCCTTGTCCTAACAAGCAAGGACTAAGCGGTCACAGCAAGTGCATGCCTGCAAAACCTGCTTGCACGGGGGGATTGCAGGTGGGACACAATTTTGTGCCTTGCTGCATCCATGAAGCTGGTGGGGCAGTGTTGGGCTGCCAGGTGTGGCACAGATTGTGGGGAATGGCCTTGCGTCTGCAGGCCCAAACTTTAAAAACGATATGAACCCTTAGCTTGAAGGATGTGACGGCAGCAGGCATGATGGTGAAGCTGCAAGTACGCTCTGTGCGGTGATTGTCAATGCCGTTGTGAGTGAAAGGCATGTGTGCAGAGTCTGCACACATGGGGCAAGCACGAGCGCTGCAGCGGGACTCTGATCATGCACCAGCGCCGCCTGCTTTCCCCACTTCACTTAGTGTCCAAAGGCACCACAAGCCAAACCCAAAATTGGCGTGGGGCGACGCTGTGCGCGATCCAAATGCAGACCAATGTCTTGCATCCTCTGTTCGCGGTTCCGTGCCCTCAGTCAAGCTGCCCAAAAACAACGGACGAAAGCGGAAAGGAAGACAACGGAATATCAGCCTTACGTGGCAACGCAAAAGATGGTCAACAGACCTCGTTGACGTCCACGCTAGGAAGCATGCCTTTGTAGCAATTCCAAAACGTGAAGAGGTCGTTGTACCCGGTGACCGCAGGCTTCATGTGGAAACACAGTGGCATCACATAGCACCGGAGACGGGGGCATCAAAGTACTGCGGCAGTCTCTTTGAGTACATCATGGCCATTTCAGTTCAGAATGTGCCCCAAACCCCACTAGAAGACTAGAAACGTCTACAGAGTGCCCAGACCGATGGGACACGGAAAAACCCAACTTCCCCGCCGGGGGGGGAACACCCAAAAATAATAAAACACGCCCCTAATGGCATCTTTTCACAGCGTGAAAGAGTCTTGCATACGTTTGTTTGGGAGGGGTGCCCTTGAGAATGCTAGTATATTGGTCCCCACACTTTGTCCATAAGGATCCCTTCTTCTTCTGCTGACAAGGCCAACGTGGGTCAGTGGGTCAGTGTTTTTTGGGCTCAGGGCGTCGAAACAGGAATCGAAAATCGTCATTATCATCATTTGTTACATAACAAGGCAGTGAGGTAGCCGTCGGCTTTCTATGTTGCCTGAGCAAAGCAGAGTCTGTGATCAGTGCGTTGAAATCTAATGTAAAACACAAACAAAATCTGTGAGTGTATTAACTCCTGATGCCTAGAAGCGACTGTCGATGACAGTACATCAACCGAAGTGTCCTCGCCAGTTGGCGAAACAAGAGTCGACAATCACAAAAGAGGCGGAGGGACTGGGTGCCTGCCGTGCACCCTCTGTATGACCTGTTCCTTTTCCCTTTGCGACCAATTTACCAATTAAATATAAATAAATTTACCAATTTAGATGAGTCGCCTTCTGTCTTCCACATCACCAAAAAGCCGAGCCACGGCGCCATGACACGGGCCCAGCGCACCAGCTCCCCGCCTTCCAGCCGCGGCAGCCCCGGGCCCCTCCTCGCGGCGGGAGCACCGGGCGCACGGGGGTCACGTGCCCGCCGCCCGCCCTGGGCGCCCAGCCCACCTCCCCACTATCCCCCATCGGCCATTCGCCGGGCCTCGAAGCTGAATCGAACCGACTGATCGCCGACTGCCCGCCCGTCGAACTGATCGGGCTGTCCCGCGAGCTCGGCTGCAATCGGCCATCGTGCGGGCGCGTAGGGCGGCATGGGCTACTGGTCCAAGTTCAGGAGCAAGGCGTTCGTGGCCAAGGCGGTGGATGAGGGGGGTGGGAAGGAGGATGGGGGGGAAGATGGCGCGGGATTGCGGAAGGTGCTGTCTGCGTTCGACCTGGTGATGATCGGCGTGGGCGGGATCCTGGGGGCGGGCGTGTTCGTGCTGACGGGGGTGGCGTCGAGCAAATACGCGGGGTGAGTGAGCGATCGGCTGTTTGTGGCGCGATCGTGCCTACGGGGCAGAACAGACTGCCCTCGATGGACGCCTCACCGGCTGGGGCATGGGCGAGGCTTGGGCAGCCTTGGTTGGTTGGGATGCGCCCGGTATTTGCATTGACTGAACCGTCTGCATTGGATCGTAACTGATGCGGTCGGGCGGGAAGCGCCATCCCGTCCGGGTTGCCGTTGGCGTGGACGCCAGAACGAACGACTTAGAGCGCGTGTGGCCGCGTTCGCGGCAAGTGGGATCTGGGCGTGCGCATTGATCGATCAGCCCGATGTGGACGTTGCGCGTGGCGAACGTTGTTGGTGGCGGACGAACGTGGCTCGTGGTTGGCTGATGCGTAGGGGGCCGCGGTTGTGAGCCCTGAATGGACAGTGCATGAACGCGGCAGCCTTTCGATCAGAGTTTTGGCCTCTTCAGCACTTTGGTTTGGTGCCCGAGGGCACGCTGATTACTAACAAGACTAAGATGTCTGGAATGACACTGCAGCACCAATTGGATTGGCCCCTTCTCTGTGCCCACAGTCACTGTAAGTGAGTACAGCAGTTGCAATGTAGTCCTGACAACCTTCTCTTCACAAGGTGCGATGTAATTTCCGATCGCAATTCTACTGGGAGGCTGCCCATGGTATGGCTGTTGGTTTGCTTCTGCCAAAATCACTGACCTCTAGACCGATTTGCTTGCCTGAGGCTTGCCTGTGCAGTTGCTCCACAGAAAATCAGTTAATGGGGCTGTGCAGAATTCAATCCAGTGTTTGTTCACGTCACATGAACATATTCAGGCAACACTGCAGACTTACACGGCATGGAAATGGCGGCCCAGTGTGAGGGCATTGTTTGTCTTATCTCACAGAGTATATGGCAAGCTTGGCGGAATGTAATTGAAATGGACTGACTGGGTCAATGTTGAGTGCGACTTCCCTTGTAACTGTCTGCTGTTCCATGCAGGCCTTCAGTTGTGCTCTCATACGCTGTGGCATCCTTGGCTGCCCTGTTCTCAGCCCTCTGCTATGCTGAGTTTGCTGTTGACCTGCCTGTGGCTGGCAGTGCCTACAATTACATATCCTTGGTCTTCGGCGAGTTCCCTGCTTGGTGAGCTCCGGAATGCTCCGATGGTGGCCCCTTATCAAGCACCACAGCGAATAGCAAAAGATGCCAATCCAGATCAGCTGAGGTGGTGTAGGGATGGCTGTTGTGGCTGGGGCAGCATGCACCTGGAGCACAGCTGGGGCACAACCATGTGTCCATTAGCTGTAGTGCTTGTGGCATTCAATCAACCAGTCACAGCTTCTGTCGCCTTGCAAATCGGCATCATACACATGGCACTTGCACTTCTCTGTACACAACAACTCCCACCTCAGTGCAATGTTTGTCTCTATCTTAGCACACTGAGGCGGGAACCCAGCTCACAGGCATGTGGCATTGGAGAACAGCAGCCTTGCCAATGTGTTTTTACTGGACTTGTTATGAACAGGGCGATGCTATTCCACTCTGGGAATAGAATCTCCATTGCATCCTCACAGCATAACCATGCAAGTTTGATGTGCAGTTGTCCTGGCACACCTGATGAAGATCCAGTGAGCTGTTGACTGCATGCCCAATTATTTACAATCTGCACTGATGGGCTAGCGATTCGCAACTCAGCTGGTGTGGATGTGCTTTGTGCCCTTTACCTTCCTTACAAACAGATTTGCTGTCATAATGTTGCTCCATCACTGCGGGTGACTACAACTCAGCCCATACTTGGAGCCCAACAATACACAGCTGCAGACCTCTGCTCTTGAACCCTTGTTGTGGGAGCAAGCACTCCCTGAGCACACCCCTGAAAAGGCTGCAGAGGAACAATTGTGTCTATTGCTGAGAGCATGGTCACCTTGGCAGTTGTGTATCCATCAGCCCAAAACGAAACTGCTAAAAGACTACAGCCGCGGCTTAAAACTGCAGTGTCGATACACTGTTCTTCCCTTGCTGACACTGGTTGCAGGTGTCTGACCTTGTTGTCATAAACTTCGACTTCAGTTTACAAGGCAGACTTCACGGACTGAGCCTCGATCTTCTCATTTGTGTAGGATCGCAGCCATCAATTTGATAATGGAGTACTGCCTGAGCTCATCGACAATAGCCAAAGGATTCACTAGCTACTTTGGATCTCTGTTACGCTTCGGGAGTGGCGCACTGACCATCAACCTTGGAGACAGGGATATTTTCAATCTGGACATCCTGGCTTTTGTGCTGATCTTAGGACTCAGCATTCTGCTGTCCCTGGGCATCAAGGCATCTTCGTTGTTCAACAATGTCGTCTCAGGCATCAACCTGCTTGCCATTCTCTTCGTGCTGTGTGCATCGACGCCTTTCTTCAGGCCCGCCAACTTTGTGCCCTTTGTGCCATTTGGGATCAAAGGGATGATCAGGTGTGGCCGATTTTCGATTAATGACTCTAAGCTGCACAACTAATTTCTGCTTACTTGTTTTTGCCTGTTGAATTTTCCGCATCACCATAAATTTGTTAAATAGCAGCTCCTTTCTTGGCCATGCTGCTTGGCAATTGGTCTGCAGGGAATTCCTGGTGGCTAGCGGTGTAATTGCCACGACCCTGTCCGGCTGGGTACAGTTTCTTGGACAGCCACATACTGTTCTGTTAGAGTTCTGCGAGGTGGAGTGCCAACTGTGCCACCTCTGCAAAAGCAACACTGAGGGTGTTGTCCTTTCTTGCAATCAACGCAACTTGTCTATGCACCTATTTGCCAATCAATCCGACTGAAGACCCCTGCCACAATGGAGGTCCTGCTACCACGCTGCAGGATTTGGTACAAGACTGGAGTTGCATTCTCTGGTCCAGGCACAGTGCGTCTTGTCCCGGGGCCGGCGTGATCATTTTATTAACAAGACCAGAACTGTCACCTCAGGGCGGCGTCCATCGTTTTCTTCACGTACATTGGATTCGATTGCGTTGCAACGGTGGCGGAGGAAGTAAGAAACCCAACGAGGGACCTCCCAATCGGGATCGTGGGCTCTCTCTCCATCGTGACGGCCCTCTACGTGGCAATGGCTGTGGCAATAACTGGACTGCAAAGGTGAGGACACTCATTCCAAGAGCTCTGTCATGTTGTGCACGTGCTGAAGACTGGGTGAATAGCGCCCACTCGGACAGAAGTGAGCCAACGGGGCGCTGGAGGGTGTACAGCCAGCGCTGTTGTCTGTCGCTGAGTTGACTGCAATCTGCCAAGTACAGAAGCCAACGTACCAGAATGCCAAGTACAGAAGTTTTCGGACTGAATTTTTTTCTTCCGTTGAGCTGTCAGTTCTTTGTGTGGACATTGCACTGGGGAAATTTCGTGCACCCTCTGGGAACGGCACTGTGGCTGCTGACAGCGCCGTTCACTTCCTTTCGGATGCATGGCCTTGTCCTGTCCATGGTAAACGTGCAACCAATGGAAAACCCACCTGTAGTGCCTATGTACAGCAAGCGCTGGAGCATGAGATGTGGCTGTCTTGCAGTTTCCGCTAGTTCCTTTTTATCTGTTGGGTAGAAGTGTGCACAAGCAATTGCATCCTGGCTCTGATGATATCTGAGCTGTTCTGTTGTTGTTTGTCCTACAGCTACAATGAAATCGACGTCAATGCCCCATTCGCCACCGCATTCAACAGCTTTGGCATGCGCTGGGCCAGCGAGATTGTGTCCATTGGTGCAATTACAGGGATCGTGGCATGTCTGATGGTGACCCTCATGGGGATGGCGAGAATCTTCATGGTCCTGGGTCGTGAAAGGCTGCTTCCAGAGTGGATGGTAAGAGTGTAGCACATGGGGCAAGCCTTGGTCACCAGATTGCTGTCCTTGATATACAAGAGGGGGCCAGTTTGAATCGAATGTGTTATTCTTTACGTTTCGCCTGGAGCAAGCAGCATGAAGTGAAGTCACGCATTGCATCAACATGACGAACAGAGTCATTCGTGGATAGGGATCATACACGAGATGGTGGAAAGACGCATAGCAACATTTATTGAGCTAGATGAGATGACATTGGACGTATCTCTCTGAGGATATGAGACGTTGTTCGTGTGTCCAAGCGTTTGTTCATAGGGAGCATTTTGCTCCCGTTGCAGGGCATGGACTTGTGATGAAGCCTCCTGCCATGATAGGCTTGGATTCGTTGGCATCCAGAAATAGGAACAGTGCAAAACAGGCCGCACAATACACCCTCCCTATCCGCAGGGTTGTCGGCCCTGTCGGCTTCACAATACTGTCATAGCCACCATTAACAGGAACGTTGGCGAAAGCACGCATTGACAAAAGAAACACATACATAATGTGTCTGTCTATCACTGGCAGAGAGCTCGAAGCTGTGTTTCCATCACATGCCTATGCAAGTTTGCCATTCTCCCCACACCCTTAAGCTATTAGAAATGGCGGGTTGGCAACAAAGGTGGCGGCGGCTGTAGCCTTGCGGAACACAGATCTTTTGTGCGGCTTGGAACAGTGGCTCCCGCTTGGTGTCCACAGTCCCAGCGCTCTGTGTGTTGCGGCAGGCCAAGGTGCACAACAAGCATAAGACGCCCTTGAACGCAACGATCGTGACCGGCATAGTGTCCGGGCTGCCAGCGCTGTTCCTCAACATCGACTTTCTTGCAAAGATGGTGTCCATGGGGACGCTGTTCGTGCTGTGCATGGTGAACGTTGGCGTGGTTTGGCGGCGCTACTTCCAGCCCTTCCAGTCAACTTCATGCAAGCCCGTCATCTGGAGGCTGGCGGTGATGATCACGGCGTCGATTGTTGAGGGGCTGGTTTTGGAACAAGATCTGCCCATATGGGTTTGGGGAGCGTCCATTGGTAAGTTGCTGCGCCTTGCAGCCCTCTGCGTGCCTCGATTGGGTTCTCAAGATCTGGCCATTTTCTTCCTTCTGCAGTTGCATGTAGGATGCGGACAGTGCCTGGGGCGTAAGTGTGTTTTTGAACAGGCCGACAGCGCCTACCTTGCGGAAATGGTAACGGTATTTTAGGTTTGGGCGGATTGTCACTGTGAGATTCCGCTCTGCACATTCATATCCCGCTGGATTTCATTTGTTGAAATCTGCGAGCGACCGACCATTCACATGCATGTCGACAATGACATTGACGTGTTCTTGTTTTGGTGGATTCAGTATTCGACTTCCCATGCTCTGGCTGTGCAGGCAGTTGACGCTGTCCTCAATTTCTGAACACAGACGGGAAATTCCCTGAACATTGAACTCTCTGCCAACGACATGGCACTGGTGTTTCAGGAATTTGCTGATGAGCTCAAGTCTCTTTTGTGGCAGTGCTGCTCCATGGGAGTGTATCAGTCGTCCGCCCATGTTCGGCGTTTCTTTCATTGGCGTGCAGATGCCAGCTGTGCAGGAACGCCTGTGCAAGGAAAGGCTTCAGTCCTGTTGCTTTGGTGATTGTCGCAAACGCACAAGGTCCTGTTGGTCCAGGTGGATAGTGCCAGCCCATTCAGGGGATTAAATTGGCGTCCGCAAACGTTCTTGATATTTACTGGCATGGGGCAGTGGCGCATTCAGTTTTGGTGTTGTTACTTCGTGCAGCTTCGTTGAAAGCACCACAAACAAACACAAGCTGCACGTCGGGCACCTTGTTTCTGAGGAAAAGAGCGTCGCTTTCCCCTGGTTGATGAAGATGACGCAATAGAATCTGATCACAAGCAAAATGACGTACAATATTCTCCTGATAAGCTCGTGCACGAATGCTGCGAGAGATGTGAGCAGGCCCTGCTCAGCAGGGTTTGGGTTCCAGCGGTGATGACGCGGTGCCTACGCTGCATGAGACTCAATCCAGTGATAACAACTGATGGCATTCGGAAAACTGCGCTAAGAGGCCTTGCCTGTCACCTGCAGTCCCCAAAGCTGTCCCGAGGGGCCATGATTGGGCATATTGTCCATCCGCACTGCATTCAGGAACTGATGGCAATCGGCGTCAAGTCTGCTGAGATTTTGCGACTTGCTCAATCCCAACTCCTGGCACATTGTCGCAACAGTAAAAATGCGTTGCTTTGCTCAAAATCGGGCAACAGGTTCTCGATCTTGAGCAGCGCAGGTCCATCCGCAATCGCACCGAAATTGCGTGGAAAGTGCAGCTCCTCGCCGGTGAACATGAATTATACCGTGCCCGTGTTGTGCTCCAGGGACGTGGCTCCTGTCCACGGCGTCGTTTTGGTCCCTGCCTGTGGCATACAGGGCGACGAAGTTCGCCCTGCCGCTGCAGCCCGTCATCCCTGCCCTTGGCGTCCTGCTCACGGTGCACCTGATGTGCTCGCTTGGGTGGGAGGCGTACATACGGTTTTTGGTCTGGCAGGCGCTCGGCGTCACGGCGTATTTGGGGTACTGCATGCACCAGACGCCGGATGCGCCGGGCGCGCAGGAAGCCAAGGTGCCCCTCATGCTGGGCGAGGGCCCCTCGGGTTCCAATGAAGACGCCGCGGAATATCTGGAGGAGGGGGGCCATTTGCTGTAGGCCTGCCTATTTAGCTTCTGTGTTGATGGCAGCTCGGGAGACCTTGTACAGTAGACAGCCAATCAGGCGAATTTGGTTTCGATGACGCTGGTGATTTGATTACGCAGGCATTGACTGCGCAATCCAGGGAAGATTGTCTTGTTCTTAGCCGCGGGTAATGCATGTCGCGGAGTGCAAGTAAATCAGAAATATTCCAAACAGGAAAAAGAAAATGTTGTTCAATGGGGAGTCAAACCCTGATCAAAGTATTAATTGAGAAGATGAAGCCGTCTCTGGGTGCGACAGGAGCACCCCGGTGTTGTGGAGCTGCAGGGTTGGGTTGGGTAAAGTTGTGCTGGGCAATCCGAAGCCTTTTTTATGCGAATGGATGATGAGCGAGTGAAGAGCGATGTATGGTGCAGTGAGTTTTGGGATTTGTAAGCTGAAGAGGGCACAGGGTGGCGCTGAGATGGACGCTGATGGACACCCCGCTGGACTGCGGGCTGTTGGCATTCGTGTGATGCTGGGTGAACGCTCAGGTGGGACAATGCTGACAGTTCTTTTCCCATCTGCAGCTATTTCCCTTTTGTACTATAATAGTGTAAATTATGCCCTGAGAGGGGAGAAAATGGGACTTTGGCTGATAATGTGCACGAGCTGCGAACCCATCGCTTAACTGCAAGATCGCAACATTGCATTTGATGTCCAATTAAATAGGCGTGTCGCATTGAGATGTGCGGCACGCTGGTGCTGCAATGCATTGATTATGCTAATTGATGCAAAGTGCCGTCTTCACACCGCATTATGATTGCATATGGCACCCCACAAAAACCAATGTCAACGATTGCGCGAAAGCCACCTTCGCCACGAAAACAGGGCGCAACAAACCCCACCCCATACCTGCTTCACACGCGTGTTTGTTTCCGCGGTAAAAGCGAGTCAGCATCAACGCACTTGTCCTGCGGAGGGCACTGCCCTCGCGGCGAGAATTACTTCACCACTGGTGTTCAAGCGACAGTCGGGTTGGCGGTACTGAAGAAGGCAGGTAGGGTCGAGGGGTGGCGGCCGTGAGCTGGTGACCTTAAGCTCGAGCCCGCGGCAACGCGTTAACGCATGGCGAAGGGACGACAGGAGCTGTGTCCGTCATATCCAGTGACTGGATTCCAGTCCGCTAATATCCTTCATGCGATCCCCAATGCTGCATCATCATCGTTAGTTTTACATAACAAGGCAGTGACGAAGCCGTCAGCTTCCTGGTTTGCCCGAGCAAATGATCAGTTCGCTGAAATCTAGTGTACAAAGTCTAGGATTCTGTGAAGTCCTAATGCTGTCCAAGCAGCGTGTCGATGATAGTACACAAAAAAGCGTGCACCTCTGAAGTCACAACGGTACCACAACCCATCAAATTCGCGTTGTCAGGCCCTGCGGGCCCATGACTACCCCGCCTGACACCCTTTGATCGTCCCAAGGCCCCCGCCGTTGCCAGCCCAGAAACACAGACCCCACCGCCCCGCCAAGAGCGCCCAGAGCGCGCCCCCGCTCACTGCCACCGCCGCCCCACCCCCCCCCCACTCCCCCTTTGCCCGCTCGGCTCGCAATCAAGCGTCAAATCCCCCATCTGCTCTGCGGGCAGTTATCCCTGTAGTTACTCCTCTGCGGGGGCCATTCCGAGGTGGCTAGCCATGAACACCGGGGACCCCCTTACTGAAGAGGACTGCTGGGGCAGCGCGCAGGACTGGTGGCTGGATGTGTTCAGAAGGGGCCGGACGGACATGGAACCGGAATTGATGAAGTGCCTGTCTTGCTCGCGCGTGGTGCTGGCCACGAGGTTCGGCTGCCACACCTGCGAGGCCTGGCCGCGCAAGGCAAGGGGACGATCTTCGGAGGTGGGCAGAGGGGCCCAGGGCGTGCGGCAGGGCAGGAGGAGGGACAGGGGGATGAAATTGGAGCCCCATGTTGAGGGGAGGCGTCAGGTGGGGGGCATGAAGAGGGGGAGGGCGGAGATAGGGCTGGAGGGTGGTTGTGCGAGGAGAAGGGAGAGGGGTGGGCCTGTGGTGGTTGGGAAGGACCCAATCTGTGGAATCAAGGCGGAGGTGGGCGTGGGGGACGATGGGGTGATGAGGAGAGAGTATGGCGGTCCAATTGCGAAAAAGGCGCGCGGGATGAAGGAAGGAGGGGACGAGGGCCCGCTGGCGTTCGCTGGCGGGAAGAATGGGGGGCGGGATTGCGGATGGATTGTCGGGAAGGGGTCGTGGATGCCGGCTAGTGGCGCAGGCTTTGAGCGTCGGCCCAGTTTTGAGCGCCAGGGGTGCTCGGAGGCGTCTGCGTCAAAGGGTGGTGAGAGGCCAGATGAGGACTCGGGGCTGATGCCGCCCTGCCTGGAGTTGCGGGCGCCGGCGCGTGGGTTAGCGCTGGGTGATGCCTGTGGGCTTAAGGAGGAGGAGGGGAGGGCGGGCGGCGACTGGCTGAGCCGGTGGGACCACCTGATGAACGAGGACGGGGCACTGGTCTTCCCACGGGGCGCAAGGAGGCGAAGGACGAGCCGAAGGTAGTGCACCCCTTGGTCAGCTGCGCAGGGTCTTTGTCCCCTTTCTCTTTGTGTCCTTATTTGTGGAAATCAAAAGCTCCCTGCCGGTGCATCAGCCCATTCTAATCTGTGTGTTTCTAATTTTGCTTCTGATTGCATTTGCGGGAATAGATAGCTGTGCCCACAGCAGTTGCTCACAAAGATGGCGAATGGCAGTCCAGTTAGTTCTGCAGAGTTGCTCTGCCCAAGAATGTTCCTGTGCACGCTCACAGTCCTTTGTGCCACTGCCCCTTCCCTCCAGCGCTTCCATTGATGGATGTGTGGCTGTCACAACCTTGTGTTGCAAATGGCAGAGCTTCAGATGTTTTGGTAAATGTGCCCAATCGCATTGGCTCAGCATTCATGCCTCATATTGTGCCCGGCCAGCTGGCAGTGTCGCCTTGCTATCTTGCATCACAACGTCAACACTCAGCAAAAACCATGTACAAGATTGTGTTTATTAAGACAACACTTTTGTGCCGATGCTCTGGCACGTACGGCAGCACTTTGTGGTTGGAGTGATGCCCGCAAGCAAGTGCGCATCAGAGCAAGTGCATGGAGACTACATGCCAACCAAATGGCACGCACCCCCCATTCCTGCCCCCGTCTCTACCCCTGTTCTTATTCCTACCCCTAATCCTGTTCCTATATTTGCTGTTGCGTTTATTATGTCCTCACTCTGCGTTTGTGTTATGATGGCTTCTCTACAGAACTCTCCAGTTGGTGAGGTCCCAAGCCCAGCAGCCACAACTGCCTCCAGTCGATGACAGTTCCGATGTCCTGGTGAATGCGGCGCCGATGTGGTGCCCGTCTCCTGTTGAAAGGCTCGAAGAAGCCTATGGGGGTGCCCGTCAGAATGTGACGATTATGGGATTCGGGTAGTCATGCTGAGATCTGGGCAGTTTGGCCTGTAACTGGGAAGAAATGTTCAGTTGCCAAACCATGTGCTGCTATGACATACTTTCAAGCAGGTGTTTGCATGTTGCTGGCCTAGTCTGGCAGAAACTGCTGCCTTTGGGGTTTTGGTAGGCGCAAGGAAAACTCTGGTCTGCATCTAGGCCCTGTCACAGGTGGCAAACTCAACTGTCACGTGGCGCAACAGCAGTGCACTGCGCCTGTGTGGTTTATTAAGATTTATGCATGGGGCATGTGCCAGTCACCAGGGACGAGACCATTTGCGTGCATGAATGGAATTGGGAAGGAACAGGGATTCTGGGATGCCCTTAAATATGATGTTCTGCCTTAGGAAAATAAGAAATCAGGGCCACCCTGAATTTTACTTGTTTATGTAAAGGCAGCACAGTGAGCCGAGCTGGAAGTCGTCCTGTGCACAAGCAACCTTATTCAGTGGGCTCAAGGCGGGGGCTGGGAACCTTTTGCGCCACAGGATCGTCTCCATAAAATTTCCATGCACAGCACGCATGGCTTGATGTTTCTTTTTACCGTTCCACACAGCTGGGTTCACACTCACAAACACATGGTTTGCCACTGTTTTTTGGCCACTAAAAGTGGCCTGTGGACTGCCGGCGAACCAGGAGCATATAGAATGAAGGCACTGTGAGCCACCACTAGTACGGATGCCACAAACATTTTCATAGATCGTTAGCAACCATATCCAAATCCCACATAATAGTCCCACACAACTCGTCTCACATTCACAACCACATGGTTTGCCACAGTTTTATTGGCCACCGAAATTGGCCTGTGAACTGCCACCGAACCAGGAGCACACAAAATGAAGGCACTGTGAGCCACCATTACTACGGATGCCATAAACATTTTCATAGATCGTTAGCTACCACCTCCAAATCCCACACAATTGTCCCACACAAATCGGTTCACAGTCACAACCAAATTGTTTGCCACAGTTTTTTGACCACTGAAATGGGCCTGTGGACTGCCACCGAACCAGGAGCACACAAAATGGAGGAATTGCCAGCAAGAAAACAGATGCAACAGACATTCTGACAGACTGTCGAAAGCCATTCCCAGATCCCCATAGCTGTCCTACGCAAGTCGGTTGGCACCCACAATCACACTATTTGCCTGCACATCCGTGCTTCTCTTGCTATGAGCACACTCGCGATCGCCGAGAGAGGCTCTGCGATGGCAAGAGGATCCTCACCCATCCGACCAACCACCAAACCATTCTCGGCCTTTACCGTTTACCTGAGCCTTTACCCCCAGCTTTGCTTTGCCATGACTGTGCTCGCCGTTGCCGCATGCTCCCTGCTGCAGTTCCGAACTCTGTGACTCCCTCCTGGAGCTCAAATCGCCACCTGATCTCCCAGGTAGCTCCGATCACCTTGGTCTCACCGCAGCTCCCGTTGCCGCTTGCTCTCCCTGCAGCCCCGATCGGCACTTGATCTCCCATGTAGCTCCGATCACCCCTTGCTCTCCCCGCAGCCCCGATCGCCGCTTGGTCACTCCCGCAGCTCCGATCGCTACGACTCCC